AAGTGTGCTTTATCCATCATGACATTCTTCAGAACGAGATGGGAGGAACAGAACTCCTCCACTCACTACTGGGAAATGAATCAGAGAGAAGATAGTGCTGGCGTTTGGAGGAATATTGTTACATTTTTCATTAATGGTTGTAATAAGAAAACAGAAATATAGCTTTTTTAATATTGTTTTTTCTTAGTTGTATAACTATATAAATCAATGAGTGATCACGCTTCACAATAACAAAAAGAATTACACATATATGAGGTAGGTTCCAGTTTGCCATCTTACTTTTTATCCGACATTTATGGACTCTTTTACATCCCAGTAAAATGGTAAATCAGGCCACTTCAAAGAACTCACGATATGGACTGTCAAAGTGAAACATTTAGGCTCTAACCAGGCAGAGTTAGCTCTAACCACAAGCAGCATGTACGGCCTTTCTGGGTAGTGAACAGGGTGATTTCCAAAAGATGGTGGTTCTGCTGGTGGGTGGTGATTGTATATCCTATTCATCTGAAGGAGGATACATGTCATTGCTAATCAGAACTAAACTGTGCATGAAACCACATCATGGAAATCATCAAGAATCCACTAGAACTGGGAAACCTGCCCAAACTTTTCAAAGGAAAGGACTATTCACGCTTTTATCAGTTCAAGAATAGACTTGCCAATTTTTGAAAATCTAACTTTTTACTTTGTTTTTAAAGCTCTTAATGGCCTTCATCCTTTAAATCTGTCTGAGCCGCTGTATGTCCAAAACCCAAACAGGGCTTTGCAGCCCACAAACAAGTCCCCAGGGTCAGACTCGAACATTGGGGTGACCAGGTCACTTGTCGTTCCTTGGATAATAGTGCACGGGCTGCGTTGAACCATCAAGCGCTGTGGCCCATGTCCTAAGTCTCTCAAACCGCTAAGCAGCCCTCTCTCCTGACTTTCCGGCTTCCTCATCGGAACCTTTGAATGCGCAGGAACACTGAACCCTGGACTCCGCACCAGATCCCACCGCTTCTTGCAAATCTAAATCCAACGCTAGGAAGACGCTCTTCAATGTAGCAGGTGAAAGAGTGGTCCTAGACTAGTTTGAATACTATTTATCTGATCAGTACCAGTTTGTGAGTGTGAACTAGATAACCTCACTCTGTTCTAAAGTTAGGACACATAATTCAAAGTCATGACATTAACTTTCACAATCACGCAGACGACACGCAGCTTTACTTATCTGTAAAACCAAATCAAACCAATCGGTTAGGTGGACTAGTGCCTGCGTTAAAGACATAAAAACATGACCTGAGGCAATCGTATTGGGCCCTAAAAACATGTGTGACTCTCCCGACGACCAGATCACTGTGCTGGATAACGTCAGTGATGCCAAAAAACAGCTCACTTCCACTTACGAAACATAGACAAAATCAGAGGTATCCTGCCAAGAAGTGATGCTGAAAAGTTTATTCATGCGCAACTTACATCCAGGCTTAGGCAATCGACAATAGACCTCATTTTCACAGTCTGTTCCATGAATGCACAGGTGGGACTAGAAACCCTGGACTCCCTGGACCTGAGGGCTGGTCCCCAGCCGTCTGGAGTTGGCGGTTCGTTGACGCCCCTCGAGACGACTGTAGTAATTTGGGACTATACAAATAAAATGTAATTGATTTGATTTAAAGGGTCTATAATGGATGATTTATTGACTTATTGATTATTATTATTGCACATTTCTGACCTGACAGTATATAATCAAAAAATAATAGTTTGATATATGAAGTTATATCAAGGCAGAAGATCCGTACATATCTTCCATTTCAGTACATGAATAAAAAATAACCAACATCAAATGTCACAAATCCTCATCTTCATCCTCAACACATGAGAACTGCTGAGCCTGTACATGTCATCTTTGAATAGTAAAAACTGAAATCAGGTGCAATGATCAATACTGCAACTTCAGAATATCCTCTGAATGTTACTTTATCTACTTTATCCTACCCTATAATATATCCCTGTGTGCTCCTACTACTGTCCTGAATGTGCACTGCAACATTGAAATTTCCCCATGTGGGACGAATAAAGGTTATCTTATCTTAACACTCCAAAGAAAATGTTATAGCAGAGTAATCACATTGAATGCACACTTTTAGAAAAGAAACTCCCATCTATCAGTCCAATACCATATAAAAACAGCCGACGTCCTGGATTCTACATGTGCTGTGTACTTGTGTATGTTGAGTGACAGGCTGATGTAACAGGTCCCCACATGTGCAGGACTAAAGTAATGTATGGAGTGAGCATGTAAAAAAGTCGGAAAAGTCCCTTTATTTAGTTGCAGTCATGAGTGGAGAAAATGGATTAGGGTCTCCATCGATTTCGGTGAGGGTTGATGTGAGTCTATGTTTTGACAGATTTGCCCCGAGGCGTTCAGGTTCATGGGGGCCAATGCGAGAACACGTTTACAGGCGACCTCACCAGAATGCTGCAGACTCTAACAATAATAGAGTTTATGCACGACCTGTACCAAAGTTTGAGTCAGAGTAAGTGAGTCCAAAGCCTGTGCTTCACTAAATTTTCTCACTTTATCATGTCCTCCCAATTATTTACTATTTATTTACCTTTCTCACTCATAACTAATATCTTGTTTAAGACATTGATCTGATTCAATGAGGTCTACATTAAAATCATTGACTTTATTATAGTCTACATTGTGGCTTCAATCTGGTCAGTAATTTGGAAAAGTCCTAGCTTTTTACATTTAATGTGCAGTTTTATCACAATCAGGAGGAAACTAAATTTGGCAAGTGGATGAAGTTCAATATATTTCCCTCTGACAGAAACACATGTAGTTCTGCTTTTCATTTACAAACAAGACTGAACATTTACAGAAACCACAAATAAGTCTTTAATGACCCAGTGCCTGTCAGCATATTCAAGCCTCATCTGAAAAAAATGTTTTCTTTTGGAGAATGCATAACAAGACTGTAAGTAAGTACGTATAAGTAAGTAATCTTTATAGAGCACTGCTCACGTCACGCATGACCAGCAACCAGATGGATACATTTATTCATCACATTTTACAATACAATGTTAAAACACAGTTAATAACTAACAGCTGAGGACATGTTTTGTTTTCCTTAGTCATGTTAAGGTTCAACTCATCAAAACATCATGATAATAGACTATCATTCCAACGTGTTCATGAGTGGGAAGAAACTCTCAGATCTTACTCTGAAATAGCACAGACAATATCAGCATAAAACTCAAGGATCATAGAGCGCTAAACTACAGATCTGAAGTTCAAAATGGTGAGTGTGACACTATTGGTTAAAGAGAAAGAGGCTTTTACTTTTCAGTGAGAAAAAGGCTATGAGTGGGATGCAAAGTTGGGATCACTGTTATTGTATGGGTGGGTCTGATTATTGTTCATGGGAAGCGTAAGGAGGGGGAGGGGGGGCAGTGTTCAGTAATATACTGCAAATGGTGCTGATCTCTGGGAGAGTGGTCCCAGTGGTTTTCTCTCTAGATTCCACCATGTACTGAGGTGGAAAAGTAAACTCCTCTTACTATGTAACCATCACACAATTTTGGGCTTACATTTGTTTATATTTTCACAATATCTTTGTAAATCCAGATATGTCCACTAATGACACACCAATCATGTGTCTTTTTTCCACAAATTTGGCGTGAGCTAGCGGGTGACGAGTGCCGCTCTTGATTGTCTTTTTGGTTGCTAAATTGTTGCCCTCTATGCATTTGGCTCCAAAAACCCATCCATGGACTTTGTTTGAGCTAGCTTTAATTGGCTTCTTTTAGAATAAATGGGTGACATCAGCGCTCAGTTAGTCCACAGCTTCCACAGTCTATGAATCACCCTCTCCACCACCTCTTGCCGATAAAGTGTGGTCTGTAGTTGCATTGGCTATGTTTGCTTAAATCAAAAATAATCTCCTTGGTCTTCTTGATGATCAGAACCAAGTTATTACTTTGACACAATGAATCCAGAGGTCACAACTCATTCTTATAATCTGAGCATGGTGGTGTCAAAGGCAAATGTTGCTGTGTGGCATGGGGGCTGAGAGGTGAGAGGTGAGCACTCTTACTTCTCAATAAGAAGGTCCTGGGTTTGAATTCTGGGAATGTTCATGTTCTCCCTGTGTCTGTGCAGGAATTTCTCTTGGTGATGAGGTTACCACTTCCACCATTGAACAGATCTCTCCTTGTATATCAATTGGTGTGTCAAGTGATGCTGGTATTTCTATCTTCTACGTCTGATGACATATACATACACATATATATGTATTAATATATATAATGCAGTATGCAGATCAACGATTAATTATACATTAATATTTATATGTTTAAATATAAATGAACATTTATATTTAAACATTATACAGTAACTACTCAAAATAAGTAAGAATCATTTTGGAACCAGCAAAACATACATTTACTGTACATGTTTCCTTCCTATACATTCAAGCTACACATCTAGTTTAATAGTAGTTAATAGTTAATAGTTTGCTTTGTAAGCTTCATCTATCCATTTATAACTAGTTCTAGCATTAAACAAGAAGACATCCAAAAGCTTGTGTTCTACTTCTCCATAAAACCTAAACATGGAGCTGATTTTTGCTTCAGTGGAAAGAGTAGTTGTGACCCAGCGTGTCCGGCTGATAGACAGAGGCAGTACCAGGCAGTGCAGTGCTTGGACCTATCATTACCAGATGTCACAGTGAGTGTGGCGTGCAGCCCAATCACTGCTTATTTCTTTGAACGCCAAACTCTCTGCCTCCTTTTCTTCTCTGTTCCCTCTGTTTCTTCTGCCTCTCTGCTACACTCTCTGTTCTGCTCTTTTCTCCTTCTCCAGCGGATTATTGGAGGACGCTGATCGTAAGTGTAGAAGTTCTTCTCCAATTGTTTCCTCTGGGACGCCCCCCTTTCCCGGCGTCCCTTCTTTCTCTCCTGCTTCTTTTCTCTCCTCCCCTTGTTGTGACAGAGCACACCTGCTTGATCTTGGTTGCATGCGCTCTGTGTCCAATTACCCCACAGGCTACTTCATAGGCTCTTCCCCCACTCAGCTGGATTTTTGGGCGTTCAAGCCGAATCTCGCCACTCTTTCATTCACTTTGCCTTGCGTCTACTGTGAGCAGGTAGGTCCATCTTTCAGATATTAAAGAGGATGTCAGTACTTTGTGAACACATTGCACATTCTAACTAGTCAGAAAGTATTGTTGAAGTAGTTCAGTACTTCATAATGTAATGGTGTGACTCATAGACTAACTTTTTCAATGGAACTATAAACATGTTTTGCCTTTGCCAGTGTGGATAGAGATCTCATTTTACAAATGTTGTTCTAGATTAGTGATGAGGCCCTTAATTCTTTCCAGAGCTAACTGAAAAGCTAGCTGCTAAAGAAAAGGGGGTGTGGTAGCAATGCAGTGGATGCTGTCTCTTCCATATGTGCCAGTAAGACAATTTTCTCACACTATTAACCAACCACGCAACAACACATGGTTTTGTGAGCATCTGCGGTCTCATCTGGTCATAAGTGTTGATTGTTTTGATTTTACCTTCTCTTTATGTTCCATAAAGGTTTAATTTTTCCATGTTTACACAAAGTTGTGGGGTTGATTGAGGCAAAACTTAAACAAGTGGAAAAGATTAGCATTTGCAAAGCTTTACTTCATTGTGGTTGTTTGGCAAATGAGAAAAACGCCTGACACAACAAAGGCAGTTTATTTATGCTTGTCTCATTACTGTTTGTCATGACTGAATGAAAAGCTTTTCAACATGCCTCATACTTTCCATTCCACAAGTCCATTTTCATTTAACCCTTATCTGCATTTATATTTGTGCATCTGGCTTTTCTCTGTGTAGGAATTTCCCCTATGTGACATGTATTTCACAGCTGCTGGGCAAAAATATCTTCATTTTGCTTTGAGAAGGACATAAAAAATAGTACCTGGCATACACATACCATTAATCCTGTAATGACACAGCTTCCTCTTTCAAAGAGGTCTAAGGCTTCCCGGCATGCCACCACACAGCCCAGCTAACTCATTGCATCCATCTTGCCAGCAGGGAAAATCTTAATAGAGTTCAGCTGCAGAATGGACCAAGACAACAGGGCGAGTTTATAACAAAACAGAGACAATGTCCATTGTGACCAGAATAGGAAAAGGCACAAAAATGAAGGCTACATTGAAGGACTACAATTTAGTAAGATTTAAAAGTAAATTAAACACAAAAAGCCTTTATAGATCAAAGACTGAAAATAGAGCCCTACTCCTTTAATCATATAACTATTATCCATAAAAGACCCCTAAAAAAGTAACTTATAATTTCTAGGCTAACCCTTTCACAAACCATTAAGAAAAATGTTTTTTAAAGAAAAGTAAAATTAGTGAAGAAAGGCTGTATGGCCCAGAGTTTCTTTTTTCTTAATCTAGGCAACAGATCTCCAGGTTAGAAAAGTAATTAATGGAAATCAGTCGAGGAACCCTGAACTAGAAGCTTGTCAGTCATTTTGTTCAGAGCTTCAGAACTTGGAACTCTTTGAGCACAAATCAGCTAAAGCCTGGGACAGAAAGAGGACAAATAGTGCAGTATTTCAATAATAATAAAGCCAATATGGATTTGGAAAGATTTAGAGCAGAATTAAAAAATGCTCCTCTTGATGCCATTTTCTCTTGATTTTTAACACAATACTCACTTTCATAGGGAAATCCATTATCTAAATCCAGAAACTAATCTAAAGAACATAAAATTGTCTGTTATCTATCGACATAGCAACACATTGTTAAAAATAAATGAAAATGTATATATCAACTATGTAAGTGGAGCATACAAAGAGAACCTTTATTTGCCCCACAGTGGGAAATCTTAGAAAGTAATTATGTAAGTTTATACCATTCACTTTTTGAGGAACACGTAGAACAAAAAAGCATTCCTGTTAAGACTACCGAGGTCAACTTCCTTATTACAGGAACATTAGGAAAAGAATTGCTTGTTGGCCATGTTCTTGCATATTTTCAGAGACACGTGTAGCCTCCAAAATCCCCTGTTATTCCCAGATCCCAGTCATGTCACAGCTGTACTATTTCATTTTTTGAGATGTTTAATGTCATGTGGAGGCTGGTTGTTGTGCTTGTTTTAGATTTGTTGTTGTTAACAGTTATCAGTTATCTGTTCAGTTATTATTATTTTCCCCTTTGTATATTAACTTTAATAGACAGTTATTAATAGGGTTAATGATAGAAACTGGATTATTGACTTTACTGTCTAAGGCCTGCCTCTGCATAGTTGCAATTCATCACAGACTGCACCCAATGTTCTTGTTTTTAATGTTGAAAATGGTCACATAACATGCTAGACCTGGAGTCAGACTTTTCGGAGTAACCGTAAAACAGTCACCAACAAATGGGTGCAGTTAGGTTGTAGGTGAAATAGAAGTTTTCTGAGGACTGAAGCTTAGTGAAGGCAAGAAAACTGAAAACAATAAAAGCTGAGAAAAGCTCCTGTACAGAATATGGAACATATTAAGAAAATGTATGATTAAGAGCAGGAATGGAAAGCCATTCGACTCCCAGTGCTTCTTGTCTGTGAGTCATTAGTGATACAGAGGCCAGAACAGGGCTCAGGGACACAGCAGAGGGACAAAAAGGGGGTCACCATCATAGGAAATGTCAACTCTAACAAAGACTAATGCAGACTACTTTTTAAAAAGGTGGACATGTTTGAAATTCTATTTTCACTCTGACACTTTCTTAACTAGGCACTGAGTTACAAAGGAAACCGAAAAGACTATTATGTTAGGTCAGACCAAAATATGGATTAAATTGGCTCATGAAAGGTTTAACTTCAGACATTAAGGGAACTTAAATGGACCTGGCTCCAAGGACCCAGCAGGTATCCTTAAACATTAGAGTCAATTCCACTTTATTCTCACACACACAGCTACTAATTTGGAATAATTCTTGTCCGTATAGTCCCTTAAGTCTTCTTGTTTAATTCCTGTAAGAACCATTCTGGTGGTGTTATGACTCACCATAACCTGTAAGATGGTAACATAAACCCCCTTAAATTACCTTCTAGGGTTTTAGCTTGACAATGTTAGTCTTGCATTTTCATCAACACAAGAGAACCAGCGTTTAATATTCTGTACAGAGGATTCATGGGGCTAATCCATAACAAGCATAGCTACATCGCTAGTTAGCCAAGATGATTGTGTTCGCACAGAGCCAAAATAAACAGACAGCAGAGTGAGGGATAAAATATCAATTGCTCACTTGTAGTATGTTGAGACTTGAACACTTAATTAGAGATTTGAATTTATTTATTTTAAATCCACTTATTGCACCAAAATATAGCAATTTGAAATTATTCTCATAATTTAGAATTATCAAGTGAAGTTGGACCAAGTGCTTTGAAAACTCACACAGATGTTTAGATGTGAAACAATTACTTTGAATAGATAAATATAAAACTGTATGAAATAGGGCTTTGCTAGGAACATATCCATGTCACATTTTTTTGTTTTATCAAATAAACAATTTTTGTGTTACATATAAAAACTGCAGTATTTTTCACTGTGGAAAATAGACACTATAATCAAGTAGGAAATCCCAAACTAGAGTTTCTTTCCAATGGTGTGGGTTATCACTCAAGCATTTAGGACAATGATTTTATAGAGCAAAACACCAGGCGAGGATCTGCAACATTTGGTGGATAGTAAGAGGTTTTATTTTATTTATTTTATTTGTTGTTTATTTGGTTGGGATTCGAACCCAGAACCCTCTTGCTGAGAAGCAGGAGTACTAACCACTCAGCCGCCCAGGTTAAAAGGACACTGAAGTGTTTATGAACAGAAATGATGGCGCCTCATTGGAGGTCTTGTATAAGTGTTTATGTGTTGGTATTCATGGGTCAGATCATGAAGACAAGGTGTTATTCTAAATGTGTGATGGTTTTCGACTTCAATGGCAACAGCAGCTTTGCAGACAAACTATTTTATATGCAAGTTATGCCAAAGGCTTCATTGCCTCTGGCAATCATCTTATTTAAAATAAACAATTGAAGACATCTAAGTGTGCACTTTGAACAATCCAACAGACCTCCCAGCCAAGTATACAGACAGACAAGGTTTTTGTTGGATTAAGTATAAAGTTGGTCTGCGATAAGGAAATACAGCACAGCCAAAATGACTCATTCGGTGAAGACAAGGGGAACATAATGTCCTCTGGGCCTGAAGTTGTACGTGAAGTACGTAGACATGCACATTTTCCCACACATGTTGCTCCAAATGAATTTGACTTATTTAGGTCAAATGAATTCATGATAATAATAACACATGTTATCTATATTGCATCTTACAGTTCAAAGAAACCCCCACAGTGCAGTGCTTTCATATCCATGTTATGAAAGTACTCATCATACTCATCATTCTGTACGGCCCTGCACCTGAGAATGATTGCTCAGAAAAGTTCTAATATCCTGACATCCTTGAGCCACAAAAGAAATGTGTTTTACAATGCAAATAATTATTGGTTCTGGAAGGTGATGCTGCCATATTCTTAGTTGTATTTTAAAAAAGCAAAACGTTTAGTAATTATTATTTTAAATAAAAAATACACAAAGCCCAGCTGAATGAAGATCACTTAGCAGGGAGTACTGTAACTGCACACACTGTAACCGCAGGACCTCGCTGACTGTGTGTCAAAGCAGTAGCTACAATGGAAATGAGAACTATAATTATGCTGTCTGTAGCTTTGCAGAGATCCCATGACCTGACTTAACCCAAATGTATCGTCTCCAACTGTATATTCAGACTATAACGTTTATTCTACTGTCACTTTACTCCACCATCAAGATAAATAATATAGATAATTTACTACAGTAATTGTGATAAATACGTCATATGTACAGTAGTGAAGAAAACATTCAAGGCATACAAGTAAAGTCAACACAAACTAAATGGAGCATTAAACACAAATTATTGTAATTTCTTTCCTGAATGTCTTTCATGTTTTATTTACACTATATTATTGATGTAGGTAGTGGTGCACTGTGCATGAGTAACTGAATATTTCCTCACAGATACAACATTGTGAAAATAAATACCTTTTGATCAGTTCAAATTTACATCATTTTATGTTAAATCCAGGTTTTGCGTCAGTTTGGCATCTTGTGGCGGTACCTGTTGCTACAGCAGCAGCTTGTAGCAATGTGTTGCTACAAGCAAAACAAAATATAAATATTTGGTTGAAGTGAAAGATTGAGAATGAACTCTTAAAAAGGTAAGTATCACTGTAAAAAACTTTGAAAGGGGAAAGAATAATAATTATATGTGTAGACATAAGTCCTATGTGGCCATTTAAATAGCATCACAAAAAACCTTTAGGCCATATAAACCACCTCTGTAAACCTATGCTCTCTTCACCTCTTTAACTTTGGCATCATTCACCTTTACCCCTTTAGCTCCTTTAAAATGGCATTGTCTGGGTCATATTTCAGGATAACTGTGTAAACCTCAGAGAATACATCTTTACCTTTGCTCCTGTAGGCCTCTCGGCAGTGGCATCATGAGGTCGGTCTGTCTCTCCATGCTGCTGGTCTCAGCCTGCTGGGCCCTTCCTTTCCGTCAGTCGGGATTCTTAGACTTCATGATGGAGGACGAACCCGGCTCCGGTGATCTGGGGCCTGTAACCGAAAGTGTGAACAACCCTGTGATGACTGCAGGTCCAAAGTGTCCTTTCAGATGCCAGTGCCACCTGAGGGTGATCCAGTGCTCTGACCTGGGTAAGACAAAAAAATTACAGCTGACAAAGTACAATCTAACATCAAAAGAACATATAGCATTTAAACAATAACTAGAATATGTCATTTGATAATGATTTCATAATGATCCTTTCTAAGAAAATAGCACAGTGTCTGCTTGATTGTATAATCCTCCTTAATAACACAAATCATTATTATCAATAGGAGTGTGCTTTACCTTGTATCTGGTGATTTGATACGTACCATGATACCATATGATATACACTAATAAATGATATGGTTATAACAAAGAAGCTCTTGCAAGATGTTACTGGTTCTAGCCAGTGAACAGGAGCATCAGTCCAGGACATGTTAGACACTGCCTTTAACATTTTATTTAACATTGAATTCATCATTGTGGTATTGAAATTGATAACGAGCATCAAGATCTATTGAGTTTGAAATGTGTATTGTGACACCGCTGACTCACTAGGTCAACTGACAATGGGCCTCATTCACGAATAACTTCGTAAGAAACTACTCAACTTTCTTCTCAAGTTGTCCTTAAGTAGATTTCTAAGAAGTCCCCACGTGGGATTCATCAACGCACTCGTAAGCCGCTGAATTGTTCGCAGCTGTTCTCTCAGATTGATGAATCCCATTTCCTCGTAAATACAGCGCGCGTGCCAGGTGCTTCATTAGCATAGGTACTTAGCATAAGTAACCGCCCATTAATGCCCATATAAGGGACTGCAGGGCCGTGTGCAGACGGCAGAGGAAACAGCAACAGGCCTAAAGCAGAGTTACACGGAGCAAAATAGTCACCCTTTTTTCTTCCTTTACCAGACTGAGAATAAAGTTATAAAATGTTGACTTAAAAGGCGAAATATTATGATAATAAAGTCGAACTAGCAAAATTATGAGATTAATCTAAGAATATGATGAGATTAATCTCAAAATCTTATGAGCTTAATTTAAAAATATATTATGTATTATTTTAAAGATGAATCTCAAAATGTTTTGAGATTAATCTCAAAATATTTTGGACCCTGGGAGGAGATCCAGCGCGGACCAGCGCTGAGACCAATGTAGACCCGAGGAGAGACTGGAGTGACCAGCACACAGAAACCAGCGCGGACCTATAGGAGAGACCGCATAGACTGGAGTGACCTGACTGGAGAGACCGGTGCGCAGAGACCAGCGCGGACCGAAGCGAGACCGCATAGACCAGACTTGAGAGACCAGCGCGGACCCGTATGGATCCAGGAGCATGCAGCACGGACCCGTATGGAGAGAGACCAGTGCAGACCCGTATATGGGAGAGACCAGTGCAGACCAGTATAGATCCATAGGAGAGACCAGTGCAGACCCGTATAGATCCATAGGAGAGACCAGTGCAGACCCGTATAGATCCATAGGAGAGACCAGTGCAGACCCGTATAGATCCATAGGAGAGACCAGTGCAGACCCGTATAGATCCATGGGAGAGACCAGTGCAGACCCGTATAGATCCATAGGAGAGACCAGCGCAGAGACTCAGCGCGGACCCAGTAACCTCCTGCAGCAGCAGTATATATGCCGTTGTTCTGTGGCCCGTGGATAAAGAAATGCCCCCTATAAATAGGAAGGGGTCACTAATACACGGCAAGATTTCCAATGTATTTGATAAAGCGTTGGCACATTTCATTTCAAAATGAATTAAAAAGTAAGCCAGATCTGCAGTGAAAAAGGCGGTATATAAATAAAGATTACTAATAAAGATTACTACAAATAAATAAATACATACATCGATATGACGGACATATCACTGGAATGTTGTATTTTTATTCAACTTCACCAAAGAGGACAACCCCGGCTGTGAACATGTTGGCACAGAATGCGTACGAGTGCTCCTGAGGACTCGTAGGATTTGTACTTGCCCAAGAGAAATTCTGGTTACGAGAAATATTTGTGAATGCCACTTTCTTTGTAAAAACCGCGTAAGTAGGATTTACGTACAAATCTGTTCCTAAGAACTGTTCGTGAATGAGGCCCAATGTCTTTACAATAACAGTCAAAACAGTTTACTAAAATGGCTTCAGCTGTTTGGATCATACTGCTTACGTTTGCTGAGACAGAGTTGGGCCCCACTTTGACACATTGCACACACATTGTCAAAGTCCTGTTATATAATTTTCTCACTATAGACCATAGAAGAAAACCTGACATAGAAAGGATTGGCTGCAGTTAAACCATACTCATAGCATCAATATGGCCCTCTTTGAGTCTGAAATAAAGGTTAATTGATTGGTTGATATTATGAGTAATATGAGATAATGGGGTCTAAAGAGCCATTAATCAGCAAGGTTTGGTTTTCACTAACAGATGCTTGGTTCTACTCTCTGGGCATTTCTGTGTGAAGTATACGTGCATCTCCCCTGATTGAATGGGTTTCCCTGCACACTGGTTCTGCCGCTGAACCCAACCCTGGGCAGCAGTTTGGCCAAATACAGAGGAAAATGAGGTGTATATTTTATTGTTATTGTTCATATTTACAAGACTGAGGGCCAAATACCTCTTCCATTACATCACGCTCTGGCCCCAGTGAAATGAATCTCCAGTGTTGGATTTTCCACATCTGACTCAATACTTTTGAAGTCTCATCTGTTGCCCATCTGTATCGATCGAATGTGTACATGAACAGACAGGACAGTTCAGAGGAGTCAGACTGCGAGGCTTGGAAGAAAAAAAGGAAACAATAATGAAATTAAACAACTTGAATCAAGACTACAAATCAATAAATATTGGTGACCTTTGAGTGCCACCATAAAGACATTGATCATTTATAGACCGTATTTTATCTGAGAGAACTGGAATCAGATTTGACAACTTGACCAATTATTTCTCTATGGTACTACAGCCAGTAAATGTGTCAACAAATCAAACTTCAAATTCCCAAGTAAATCAATGAGATTTATTGGAGAATGATTTATTGTCTATATATGACATAAGAAGATAATTGATGAAAACATATTGATAATATGTTGCAGGCCAGGAAAAGTAGAAATATAACCTGATCTACAACTGATGTGTCTTGATTCACATATTTGTAATTCAAAATCCTACATTTAAATTTTGTGCTTTATTACTGAAACAAATAGAAAGGCTCTTTGCTTTCTGAGAGCTGAGCTGTATTGAAGAAATACTTGATACGGAGCAGTGCAGGACCTGACCACAAACAGCTGTGGTGGTATAAGACTGTTCGCTGCAAAGCTTACTGGAAAAGCTGACAGAAAAGCAAACCCATCTGCAGAAATGTTTGGGTGAGCTGGACCCACGACGTCACCAGCTTCGTAAATGGAGTGTGCAAAGAGGAAGCTTGTCTTAAGTCTCTTTCTCTAAAATGTTATGAGTCTTTGAGGTTGATAGGAATTTTGAAGTGCATAAATTTTTCATTTGACTTCTAACCAAAATGTTTCATCTCATTCATTGAGTTTGCTGAAATCTCCACTGTAACATTTTTATCAAATAATAGACCAAAGTAAAACAAGGCCATTGCTTTCTTTCTACATCACATACATGGATGGAGTATGGCATTAAAGTGATAGTCTGGAACTCTAAATGAATTACAAATTTTAAGAATTGTATTAAATTGACTTCCTGGCCTGAAATGTTCATTTTATGAATTCTAATATTACGGGTAAGTCCCGCCTTCCCTTCTCTTAGCTATAGCTCAAAATCCACAATGCTGTCAATCATTGGCGCTCATGCTCGTAGCTGCGCATGCTCGTAGCTGCGCATGCTCAGTTGTTTGTTTTCACGGAGCCTCCGAATCAAGCCTCCAATAGGCTCTGGAACTACATGAAAACTGAACAAAGTTTTTTTCAAATCATGTACCTCTCTCTCTTTTTTCTGACAAACTCCAGACAATCACTTTAAACTTTGAGAATGTACTGCAGTATTATTCTGACTCTAAAACAATAGAATCATGCAACGTTCCAGAGTGAAACACCGCATCTCTGGGCATAAAGAATGCAGAGGGAAGCCATACTTAACCAATTTTCTTTAGATGTTTGACACAAGAATATGTTGTGACCACCAAAGTGCTTTAGCTACATGTACATGTATTTGCGTTTAGGTCTGAAGACAGTTCCTGAAGATATTCCAGATGATACAACTCTCCTTGACCTGCAGAACAACAAAATAACAGAAATCAAAGAAAATGACTTCAAGAACCTAAAAGGATTACATGTAAGACAATTTCCTCCTTACATCTCTCCGTCATATTATGTAACCTCTCTGTGGTTACGCAACCTGTTCTCCTGTAGCTGCCCACATTTTAAAGTGTATGAAACCATTCACAGCTCATTTAATAATAAAGTCAGAGCTCATTCCGGCTGAAAGACAAGACTCCAGTTTACCATTTTTTTCTACTTCTTTAAGTCCCTCTGGCATAGAAGTATTCACTGGTCCCAGGTGCACGGAAACTATTCAGCTCCAGGCCCTCCAACTTACTGGTGGTTTTTGACTTGTAATAAATTCCTCTTTCTGATGGTCTAGGGCGGTTTCCACTATTATATTACTGTCTGTTTATGAGGAAAGAATGTCCCAAGTCTACTGATCAGCTCTCAATCAAAGTACAAATTATACAAATACCTTGTCAAGATGCTACAGTTGCATCCTTACCTGACACCTGGTACAAATGTTAGAAAATCAAGTCCTGCTGTAGAACTGTGATTACTAAGATAATAATTAAACTTGTTCTATTTTCAATTGTAGGCTCTGATTCTGGTAAACAACAAAATCACAGTGATCCACGCAAAGGCTTTGACCCCGCTGACCAAACTGCAGCGCCTGTACCTGTCCAAGAACATGCTGAAGGAAGTGCCGACCAACATGCCCAAAAGCCTGCAGGAACTGCGGATCCATGAGAACCAGATCACCAAATTCAAAAAAGCCTCTTTCCAGGGCATGTCCCACATGATCGTCATGGGTATGAAGTGACCATATGTTCTCTGCCATTGCATGTACCAAAGTATTTAGTTACTACAAATATCATTCAAAAGACTTTTACCAAACCACAGCTCTCAGCTATTGTGAAACTTTCTGTTTCTCAACACCAGTGACTCATAACTTAGCTAAGTTGTTTCACAGAACAAAGTGACTTTGTGTTTAGATGTCGGTTGTTCTTATCATTCCTCGTTTTCTTGTGTAATTCTCTCTTCATAACATTGTTGTTTTCAGAGCTTGGCTCAAATCCCCTGAAGAGTGCAGGCGTGGAAGCCAATGCATTTGCAGACCTCAAACGAGTGTCTTACATTCGCATTGCAGATACAAACATCACAGACATCCCCAAAGGTACACAGGACTGAAGGGTTGTAATGGCCATAAAATATCCATAATGAATCAATAAGAGACAACACCATTGACAAATTGTTCCCTGTATATTCCAGGTCTGCCTAACTCTCTGTCTGAACTGCACCTCGATGGAAACAAGATCACTAAAGTGACAGCAGAGAGCCTGAAAGGCCTAAAACAACTGGCCAAGTAATTCTTACTTTAATTATGTTTTAGTAGATGGGACAACTGTAGGTTTACAACCATTTATTTTAACAATAATAATAATTCAAAAGCTGTGTATTCATATAAAATGCTTGCACAGAAAGGAAAGAACACTCAGTGTTTGTCTTTGCCAATTTTCCAGACTGGGCCTGAGCTACAATGCGATCAGCTCAGTGGAAAACGGAACACTGGCCAATGCGCCCCACCTGCGAGAGCTGCACCTCGACAACAATGACCTGACCAGTGTTCCTGCAGGCCTGCCTGACCACAAGTACATCCAGGTACATGCAGCATGGTACCAATACAGACAACCACATAGTCCGTGTAGCATTACTGAAAGCAGTTTTACTGAAAGGTGAATTACATTGTCAAAAACACATACATTTTATGGTTTTTAGCCGATTGAAATTTGAGCCACTTTACAATGTCTTTAGAGTTTTTCATATCTATTTACATTTCATGTAATTAAATGTACATGAATAAAATCAATAAGCCTCAATCATTCTTTGATGTAGATAAAAACAATTAAATGGAGCGCAGAATAGGGAGCGGCTTGTCTGGGGCCAACGACAGTGAAGGCCTGATCATCCCAGTGTTTATTAAAGACGTCTGTTATTATGTTCTTCTATGCTTTATTTGGTGAAACCAAAATGATCCTTATTGCCACCTCACACAAAGACTAAACATTGTTATTATGAAAATCTCTCCTCTAGGTGGTCTACCTCCACTCTAACAAGATTGCTACTATTGGAACAGAAGACTTCTGCCCTACTGGTTTCAACACTAAAAAGGCGATGTATTCCGGCATCAGTCTGTTCAGCAACCCTGTGTCTTACTGGGAGATCCAACCGGTCACCTTCAGATGTGTCTTTGACCGCTCAGCCATCCAACTGGGCAACTACAGGAAGAAGTAGAGTCGTGATCTCTGCAAGTGTAAATGAGTGTGCAAAGAGCGTATTTGACCATATCACCAAAAGTGACCAAAAGCACCAACACTAACCACTTCAAACATATCATTTTTAGAAAATGTTATTAATAATGTTTGGCTGTTTAATGATAAAACTAGAAATATTATACAGACTCCTCTGTTGTATTCTTTGTGAGTAACCACACACGTGTAAACAGAATAAGAAGTACTTTGTTCATTTTTGTGGGAAAAACATCCATCGGAAAAATCTGAAGGGATTAATTACCACTCTATGCTCTAAAATCACAATTGTGATTAACTGTACAACAAATTATGAGGAAAGGAGTGGAGGACCCACAGCAAGTGAATTTATGTGGCCCATAGAGCAGGCATCAAGGGCAGACGAGTCTTTCATATCTCTTTCCTGGTCGAATGTAATCTTCCTGTGTAGAATGAACAATTTTGAGAATGTTGTTGCACAATCTGAGTTGTATTGTATCACATGTAGATAAAATTCAAACATAATTTTTGTAGTTATTTTTGCTGTTTTACATTCCCCCGTTATGGCAATAGAAGTATGATGTTTGGTAAAACATTTATAAATCATATACATTTTTAAGCCATGCCTAAAGAGTTTTTGCATGTTTGTACTTCCACTTGGTCTTTGTTAAATCTGTCTGTTAATGTCTGTTTGGTTTTGTCCCGTTGTTCCTCTAATGTCAGTTCAGAGTTTGAAAATGGGGTCTATAGACAGATGTGCCCATAGCACCCCTCCTGGAGTGAATGTTGTATAGACGCTGTATATAAATGCTGTATGTGTATAAAACAAATCTCTCATTTCTTGAAGGCAAAAGCACTTAGCATTGCTCACACTAATATATCTTCAATAATGTTCCACTTTTGTCAGAGGAGGGGCTCCCACCAAGGTGTCTTTAAGAAAATAAAAATATTGATGTAAAAAGTAGCAGTTCATTGATTAATGTATGTATAGTGTATTCTAATGCCATAAACAACAAGACATTCAGTATTATTGTGAAGAAAAAATGTCTGGAATTCCAATATCACAGTTACCTGTGAAACTGTCAATCTCATTGTGACTTTTATCTGACCTTCGGTTTCCCATCACTGCTACAGATGTTTGAACACAAGACAGAGTCGATAGCAGGGGTCTCCAACCTTTTTCAATCGGAAAGCTACTTTCATACAAAAGAAGAGGCAGATAGCTACTGCTTTTTGCACTCGTACTGAAATGCTATGCTCAAAGTTGGAGCTATAATGTTTGCATCACAGATAAAGACCAGGAGAAGTCATAGATACATGTATACGTGTATTCACATCAGATTCAAGCATGTCTACACCTTCTCCAGGGCTATAGGGCATTTACAAACAACTCCCATCGTTGCTTTTCAATTAAAATGATATAAAGAAAATAAACATATATAAATCAAATAGCCATAACATCTGTAAATCAAACAGTATAAGTCAAACATGAGATAAAAATATTACATATGATATATTTAGAAATCCCAATCATGATCCAAACCACAGGCATTGAATTGAATATCCGATTCAACATGCAGAGAATCAGCATAATACTGGAGTGGTGATGAACATAGGTAAGTGAAATGCCAGGCTCCATGTTAGGTTTCCATTTGTAACCTGCAGTATCCTAACACCATATCTAGGTAAAATAAGTACTCATATACCCTGTACATGTCTTACTATTTCATCAATGATACAAAAATAAGTATTGAAACGAAAACAAAAGTTGGAGTCTGCATGTCTGTGCCTCTGACCAGTAGCACCAAGTCAATGAAGTTATCTGTCTCCCCCATGTGGTGATTGTGTGTTCTGTCCACTGTGTATTCTCCCACATGCTGAGAAAGCAAGATATAGTGGTCACACAGCCAAACCTCTCAAACGTGACATGGCAACGCCAAAGGGCGACAAAACCGCCTGTAAAATCATTTCTATACAAGCTGAGTTTGCGTTGTCTTTTGTGCTGCTAAACTTTCTTTATTTCTGTCCATGCAAAATCTTTTAAAAAATTCACAGCAATAGGTGTCCACAAAACCTACAACGTTGATATGGCGTCCGTGTAGTACTGTTTATATATTTAATCTGGAGCACATGGAAGCCCATGAGACATGCGGTGAGGGATCACATGGCCACAGCATGCAGGCAACAGAAGAGCCTGTCTCAGGAGTTAATAAGCCTACATGTGTCTGTGCCAGTGTGTCCCAAAATAACATGATCCTGCCACAGACACGGTGTGTGTGTGTGTGTGTGTGTGTGTGTGTGTGTGTGTGTGTGTGTGTGTGTGTGTGTGTGTGTGTGTGTGTGTGTGTGTGTGTGTGTTTTCAGGGCACTGCATTATAAAAAATCTCTAGCATACAAAACCACTTTATTAGTAATTTTAGTGACATATTTTACTCCTTACAACTCAATTCTGACAGTGTTCAAAAGGAATAAAAACTGAAATATTGAAACATATTGTTCCAAATATTATTTTTTTTAACAATAAGTCAATACAGTAATTAGGCCTGGTTCTAATATGATTTATAAAGAATGTTGTGTATAAGCATGTGTAAGTACTGTAGTAACATTGTAGAGCCTGCACTGCATTAAAGATTATTTCAGTCAGTTTAAATGTGACGAATTTTTAAACAAGGTCCTCCACAATAAATGTAAAATCCACTGGTAGGTCTTCTATCACATTAAACCGTTTCAATTTCTAAATGAGGATTCATCCACTGAAGGTTTGTGATTTGGATTCTTCTAGTACATACAGCACAGTTTAAGAAAAGCTGGTCTGACCTTGCACAAAGACAGTATACTTTAAAATGACAATAACACAAGCATAAAACATATATAATTTCAGAATAGTGTACATCACAGTGTATCAGTGGTTAGCACTTGTGCTTCACTGCAAGAAGGTCCTGGGTTTCATGTTGGAAACTTGGAATCAGTGCTGCAAGGAATAATCAAAATAGAGCGAACCAGTTCTTGGAGCCTTTGTGAGCTGGTGTCCGGGAGAACTTGCTAAAAGAACGGAATCTCTAACACCAACTAAACCCAGGCCCAGACTAAAGCATCTGCATTGAGGACAAACAAAAAAGCCCTTGGGTTCATGTCCTTTAAATGTTCAGAGTAAATAGACTCAAAAACGAGCATTGAATTTGAACAATTTACATGAAATAATTTTAAAAAACAGGAACAAGTTAGAGCCCTGAAACTTAGAAATAGAGGACAACAATTTGTACAATCGCTACATAGAAAGTGTCCTGGATCCATCAACCCATGAAGCAATTTTTAATTTTGAATCAATCACGGATACCCCTAACAAGAACTGGGAAATGCCCAGCTGGGGACATATTCGGTTTCTATTCCCCACTGTTTATAGAATTAAGCCCTTTGCACTGCTGCTCGGTGCTCCACTGTGGCTCCTCTAGAAAAGTGGAAATAGTTTGAATCTTTATCATAGACCAAAAAAATATAGAACATGTTTATGCTAGACTATAGAAAACATGTGTTACTGACATTCTATCAAGTGGTAACTGCATTAAAATGGGTCTGGCCCCCACAATTGTGGCCCTCTGATTGGTCTTCCCTGCCCAAAACATTTGGGTAATATTTAGTTTGTAGTGAGACAACTAACATTCAAAGAATTGTCTTTCCTAATAGTATTAAACATCCTTTTACAAGTTATAATGTATCACCCTCATGTACCCTTCTGTAAGAGAGGTCAGAACCAGCTTGACAGACATAAGTGTGACCGACCAGGTCCAGGTGTCCCATCCCAGCAGCTCTGACAGTGTGATGTACGACACAGGGAATACCACATTCTGGGTATAAAACATTATCTTTATCTTTATCTTGGATCTCAAATTGGTTCACCAGAACAGATGTCATAGATGATGTGATTCACACTGTATGCAAGATACATCTACACAGAATAAAAACCTTTTACCAATGTTGCAGCACAAGATGCTGATGCCAACTCATCAGATTTTCCACATTCATCCTTGATTATTATTTACTTTCCTTAATTACTAGGATCAGTGAGTGGGTTCAATAGAGGCCTTTTAACTAAAGTTTCCACATGAAGAGGTATCCAACACCTCAGTCACATAACCATTCTTTGGACTTAAAGTTTGTATCCAGACATGACGACATGTTAAACGATTAAAGATGTCATCAGCATCTGATCCATTCCATAAACTGAATTTTTCCTTCTGTCTCTCCATCAGACCTCTCTCTCCTCCCCCTTCTCCTCTCCCTCGTGTTTTTCTCAAGAGATTTTGAGCTTTTGAACTCCAGTTTTCTTTTCTACTGGCCTTCCACCCTGTGCACACCAAGAGACAAACGAATAGGTAAGGAATTTATTTAAAAGTGTTTGAATTCTGCTTTGATTGATCTGCGAGTAGCATGTATGCTTTCTGTAGACCTGACCAAGCACACATGTTCCAATTATGTGTTGTAACCACGGAAAAACTTTGGCATGAATTAAAATTGTATGTGAATGCTAAGGAGAAAATAAAGATAATGTATGGTAATAGTAATAAATAATTATTTATTTTTAGTCTAGGGGGACCAGATTATTAAAAACAAACAGGGCATATCCGGGTTGGGGTGGGGTTAATATTAAAATAACAATGATTCATTATTACAGCGCTTATGCAGATTCTCAGAGTCACTTTACACTTTCTGCATGTATGTATTTTGGTATTATTCATTGGATTGCAAAAGTGATACAGACATTATAAAAAGAAAAACATTAATGTAAACACAGCAGATTATAGTCAAGGCTAATGTCCATACATTGTTATGTACTATTATCATTAGTTTGTGTGAGTATGAAATTAGCAACAACAACAAAATCACGTCCTAAAAAGACAAATCCATGATATTGGATACATCTGCTGGGACAAAGTGATGTAACTGAGCGTTTCATCGCTTTCTGGGGTAAATAGAAACTTCTGGTCACCAAAATGTCACTACAAAAAACATTTTAATTACCTTTATTTTAAGATGTGTAAGCAATTAGGTTAAAAGTGTATGGACAGCAGACAACAATCCTTCACTGTCATGTCTATTCAAATTTCTGGAGCATTTGAAATGTTTTTTTTTATAGCCTGCATCAGGTCCTAACTCTTGTTTTTATTTTGTTGCTAGTTTTCTATCCCCAGGAGTCATGCTATCGCTTCGTGTTCCTCTCCTGGCCATATTGGTCGGCATGGCTGTTTGCCAATATTATGATTATGAATACCAGCCTGCTGCACAAGTTGAGCCTCCCAGTCCCAAGTGTAACCAAGAATGTGATTGTCCTACAAACTTCCGCAGTGCCATGTACTGTGACAGCCGCAACCTAAAGTTTGTTCCGATAGTTCCAACAGGGATTCAATACTTGTACCTTCAAAACAACGGAATCGAAGAAATAAAGGCAGGAGTCTTTGATAATGTCACAGACACCCTGCGTTGGCTGATACTGGACAATAACAACCTAACTAATTCTAAAATAGAGAAGGGAACTATTGATAAGCTTACAGCTCTGGAGAAGCTGTTCTTTAACCACAATCAAATCACTGAACCCATCATTCCTCCCTCAAAATCTCTGGATGAGCTGAAGATGATGCATAACAAGCTGACCAAATTTCCAAGTGGACTTTTGACAGACAAGGAGAATTTGACATCAGTAAACCTTCAGCACAATGAGCTCACCTCAGAAGGTATTTCAGGAGCATTTAAAGGAGCAAAGAAGCTGCTGTCCATTGATGTGAGCCACAATAAGCTGAGGAAACTTCCTGCCGGAGTGCCCAGTTCACTGGAAATGCTCTACGCTGACTACAATGAGATTGACAGTGTTGGAGCAGGGTACCTCAACAAGCTGCCTTCTCTGCAGTATCTGCGGTTGTCCCACAATAAGCTCCAGGACTCAGGCCTTCCCGCTGGAGTCTTCAACGTCACATCTCTGGTGGAACTGGACCTGTCCTTCAACAAACTGCAGTCCATTCCTGAGATCAACGAGGGCCTGGAGCAGCTGTATCTGCAGGCAAATGAGATCAACAGTGAGTGGTTCATTTCATGACTATGGTCGCTATCAACACTAACTAATTGAACTTTTTCATTTTCAGAGTTTGACTTGACCAGCTTTTGCAAGCATGTGTCTCCCCTTAACTATTCACGTCTGAAGCATCTGCGCCTGGATGCTAACAACATCACCCACGGCAACATGCCCCCAGAGTCCTCCAACTGTCTGCGCCAGGCCTCCGACATCATGTTTGAGTGATAGTACCATAAAGCTATGACCCAACGGCCAAGTCTGAGTTTTACTTTTAGATAAAACGTTTTTACACAACGATATTTGCAGACAATACGAACAGACAAAAGTAATGTAACTTTACAAAATTTTAGTTTTATGTTGTTTGTATATTGCAAAAAAAAATCACATACTTTAAGCATTCCATGAGTTAGACAGTTAATACACTGTCCCTGATGTGTGTTTTGAGTTGTTGTTATTGTTGCTTTGTTTACATGTTTTGCATCTATACACATAATCCATTGCTGTGCAAAGGATCTGCAAGAAGGACTGCATCCTGATGTTCGTATACAAACACAAATTAAAGAAGCAATACTGATTACTGGTACTGAGTGACCTTACAAATGCTTATATTCTTGCTAATGCTTATATTCTCATTTAAATTAAAATAGCGTTAAAATGGTAAATCTATAGATGTACATAAAATGTCTACAACATTTTTACTTCATGTTCCCAATAATGACTTTGTGTGTAAAGTTGCTTGCATGGTTTCAAAATCAGCCTGGTACTTTTATGCTGCTTTTGCATTTTTGCTTAAAACACTTCGAGGGATTGTTGAAGGAGCTAGAAACACAATACCGTATATGTGTGCGTCCATTTCCATTGTGTCCAACTTTTATCCATAAATAAATAAACCCCTGTTGGTCTGTGTGTTTAGTCATGTGGAAGATTTTTTTTTTTTTTTTATGGTTTGGAAAAAGCATTTGTGGTTTGAGAGGTTTTACCACAAACCAAAAGTCAGCAGGTCTGTTCCAGCTCTGAGCCAGGCGCATAATGTAGTGTGTCCTAAGGAAACACTTTGACTCCAAGAGTGTGTGAGTGACAGTGGCCAGAAGGGTAGAGGATATCGGACAAATGTTTTTTTAACTTAAAAACGCAGTCTTTATGAATACTGTTCATAGTAGACAATTATAGTGTAAAATAAACCCTTTGTTTGTATTTGCATTATTCACTCATAGTATCCATCACACATAAACACTTGAATATTAACAAATAATATATGTAAAAATAAATACATTAGACAAGTTTCAAATGACTGATTTTCATCATATAATGAGAATAAACACATAAGTGTTGAATAACTATCACCACTAAAAGCCAGAGTTTCCTCTCTTGGGGTTTGAAAAGAGTTCTGAAGTACTTATTTACTGTGAGGCTTAAACGCCCAAAGAAAATGAATACAATCAAAGGGCGTATGCCTGTGGAAAATTACAAAGTATCTATTAAAGTGCGGATAGTAATGGATCAGATTTATATAGAGCTTTTTTTGGACACTCAAAGACTCTCCATAGTACTATAAAGTACTACTGTTGCCACAGCTGCCCAAGGACAGACTGACAACCAGGACACAGCCCCGTAGCCACCCCACAGTGGCACCTGGTGTTCCCAAAGGTCTCCCATCACAGTACTAACTAATCCCTGCCCTGCTTGGCTTTAGATGTCTGACACGATCTGGCTTGCACATGCAGGTGATGCCACATTTGTCTCACTTGGATCTAGGTTTAAGTAGAACAGGTTTATGTACTACAGTGAAGAAATACTTTGGGTACTTTACACTTCAAGACATGAAACAAGATATATGAAATAAACGTGTTGTCTGCCAGTCTTGTATTAAAATACCTCTGTTATTTTACCAAATCCTAAATAATACCAAAGTCTCTTTTATTTAAAACCAGTCTGGGCAATAGCTCGCTGTACACGGCCAGAGGCACATCAGCTGATGGCCAAATGTCAGAATGTCTTGGTGCATTGAAGTGTTAACTTTTTTACCCTGAACATACAGCCATAAAAACAAATGTCAGTGCCGGGAGACACAAAGATACTCGGCTAATTACGCCTAAATTATGTTGCTGAAAGCATTTGAGGCTTTTGCCCTTGAAATCATAACAATCCACTCAGCCTTTGCCCTGCTCGTCCTGAAACACAGCTGTCAAATCATGTTTCAACAAATATTTATATAAATTTGATTCCTTTATTATATGTGTTGCAAAATTTTCAGTTTTCTGCAAAAAAACATCATGAGGGTGAAATTACAGAATGCAACAGGGTGAAAGCCCTTAAAGCCAATCTTCCGCCACACCTGACACCCTTTAGGCCTACAAGTCAAAATGACCCATAAAAGCTTCAAACACTCAACCCTCTGAGCCATCTTCCCCTCTGGAGCAAATGGTTTATGGGGGCTGGTGAAACTGCCTGTTACTGTAGCTCCAGCTGGTGACTTTCTTCTGCAAAGGGGACCAGACAGAAAGAAGCATCAAAACAAAAAGAGCTGGGCAGAAGAGAACACAAGGGCCTGGGTCACAGTCATCCTCCCACCGAGAAGAAACACCATAGTGGACCGTGGATCCAGAGGAGGACTGCGGTGTCACACACTGGGATTGGGAGATAGTGGAGGAGAGAACACACAAACTACCCCTGTTTGCTGGATACAACTAAAGAGGTGAGAGTATTTCTTACCTTCATGTCTCTAAAGGTTAAGCTCAAGATATTTAATTTACATAAGTGGTCAGGTTTTGACAAATTAGGCTTTAATTGTTGTCCAGTTGTTATTTTATTTGATAGAGACAGTGTACATTAATGAACTTTACAGTAAATTCACAAGGCAGTACGCATGACCTTGGCTGATGGCAAAAAAGCAGTAGAAGTAAAATCTTTTAAGTTCATTAGTAGTGAATAACAAACATACAATATCATATACTTAAATGTCAGTGTATATTAGCAATCACTACTGAAATACAGAACATTAACATTATTCAGCAGTTTGATTAATAAATATATATACAATGATTCATGCTAAATAAACCAAAATACATTCTGAGATATTGTGGCAACTTCATCTAGATATGATTGATAGCCTCGTGTTAATTTGGTGGTTCACTGTTGTGGATTCTGCATAACAGTTCAATGCTTCTTAAGATTGATGAAGACTGCACATGTTGTTTGCGGATGCTTGTGATCTTGGCACAGATGAACAGACCTATAAAAGGCTTGTCTGGCTCATCAGGGATAATTGATTCCTCTATCCTCACACAACTGGGCTGGGATTATCCTGCTACACATAAGAGACTTTGTGAGACTTCCGTCATCACTGGTATTGAGTGCAGTCTCGTATAAAAAGGTCATGGACACACTTTACCTTGAGACCAGCCTAAATGCATGCTCGACTAAATGAGAGAAAAGTATGGACACTGGTTTAATCAATGCATATGATATCACTCCAACAAAACAAATTCCAAACCCTGTATATGATAAAGAAGGGGAGATAACCTTGAGCCAAAAATTAATTGGAATTTTGAGATCAGCCTCCGAGCTTGCAAGGGTCACCTGTTTTCTTTTTTTGCACTATTAGCAACCATGATGTAAAATAGCTCACAGGTCAGCACAGATGGAACTTGTGAGATGTGTTAGACAAGATTAGGAGTAGCATGTGGTCAAGTAGGCCATGGTCTAAGGATTAAAACACTGTCCAACGCCAAGGTACATTAACCATTCATCTTGTCCAACCTAATTGGCCAAGAGCAGCTTTGGTGTCATCAGTAGTGACAGGATGGCACACTCTGAATGAAAGCCGGGGGTATAAATAGTGGTGGAGACAGAATATCAGAGCTTTTGAGACAACGCGTGTAATCTTGTCATTCTAAAGAAAAGATCTAACTCATTCGTCGGAAAAAGGTATGTTAGTCATGGCACTTTTTTCTGTAGTTGTTCAGCTCTTGGATGTCTGGGAAACTAACTTGCAAAAACTAACTTGGGGTTAATCTTTGAAATGCCTTCACCCATTAAAAATAATTAACGACACATGTTTTGGGGTGTTTCAACTAGTTCGACCAGTCTCATATGTTAGTTTAGAAAGTATAGTTTTTGCATGCAGGTGAAACTCGGAAAATGTGAATATAAAAAGCCCATTCATGTCTGTAATTCAATTCAGAATCTGAAATTAACGTAACACAAACTTGTCAATAGGGCTGCACAATATATAAAAAAAATATTGTTATTGCGATATTGGTGCGTGCAATATCCATATTGAAAATATGCACAATTCAAAAAAAAAAGTGCTTTTATTTTTATTATTTTTCTTTATTAAAACACAAAAAAACAGCCAGACACATCAACATTCAACAAATACAACAAACAAACAAAAAAGTATGAATATATGCATTTGAATGTCATTCATGTTGTGCTTATTCTTTGTTATTTGTCTCTTGCGTTTCAATGCAGATTGCAATTTTAGGTGACAGACAAAAATATCGGAATAATATCGTTATCGCAATACTAAACACTCATATCGTGCAGCCCTACAGCATCAGGCCTTTTTTTATAATATTGATCATTGGCTCACAGCCAATATTTAAAATTATTTTGAATATGGCTTGTAAACCACAATCATCAAAATTACAACAAACAAAGGCTTGGAATGTCAAGTTTCTTTGCCTTTCACACTTTAAGTTGAATTGCATATCTAAATGAACTTTTTAATGATATTCTAGTTTTCCCAAGGTCACGCTTCTATAGGTACAAAAGTTACACATACTTCAGGTCACTACTCTATTGACAGACAGCATGACCCAATTCCCAAGTCCCAAATCAGCTGATTATCATTGCCCTACTTCACCTAAGAGGTTGGCAACATGACATCACTGACATCAGTCTTCTATCAGTTTGAGACCACACATTCAGGGTTCCTTCTTGTTTAAAATATGCTTATTTTTTCCCTTTCAGACAAATGAACAACATGGAGGTTACCATAATAGTCTTCTTCATCCTATGTTTGTTTGGACCAGTCTTTGGCCAAGATATGTCCTATGAGGAAATAATGGCCCAGCTTCAGGCCTGTCCCAAAGAGTGTCGCTGCCCACAGGATTTCCCTCGAGCAGTCTACTGCGATGGCAAAGGCCTAAACTATATTCCAAATATCCCTGCGCACACATGGTACCTTTACCTCCAGAATAATAACATTGAAGTACTCTCTGCTGATGCTCTACGTAATGCAACACAGCTACGTTGGCTCAACCTCAACCGAAACAAAATCACAAGCAATGGAGTAGAGCAGGGAGCGCTGAGTACAATGTCTCAGCTGGCACATCTGTACATGGATGAAAACCTGCTGTCCTCTGTGCCTTCTCCACTACCACCGACCTTGGAACATCTACGCCTGTCTCGCAACCGTATTTCCAAGATCCCTGCTGGTGTGTTCTCTGGTCTGAACAAACTCAACCTCCTGGATCTTCAGAACAACAAGCTGATGGACGACGCAGTCACAGAAGTTAGTCTTAAGGGTCTAAGCAACTTGGTGCAAATCAACCTTGCCAAAAATCAACTGAACAGTATGCCTATTGGACTGCCAGCCACCACAACTCAACTCTTCTTGGATGGCAACAACATTGATAAGATCCCAGAAGGGTACTTCAAAGGTCTGCCGAAGGTGACATTTATCAGGCTCAACTACAACAAGCTCGCCAGCAGCGGAATTCCAAAAGATGTCTTTAATGTTTCAAGCATTTTGGACCTACAACTGTCCCACAACCAGCTAACCGAAATGCCACTCATCCCGTCTGGTCTTGAACACCTGTACCTGGACCACAATATGATCTCAAGTAAGCTTGAAACTTGCATGAGCTCTATACAATGTTATCTAATTTTACATTTAGAACATACAGTATAATAGTACAAAAGCTGCCTTTGTTCACACATCTATATGTTCTTTTTTTCAGCTGTGAGTGGATCTAGTGTGTGTCCAGACTCTGCAGATGAAATGGACAACACAAACGAAAGTGGACCTCGTCTACGATATCTCAGACTTGATGGCAATGAGATCAAACCACCCATTCCCAGTGATATCATCCAATGCTTCCGGCTCCTCTCATCAATCATCATCTAAAATGACACTCATAAGAACTATGTCTCATTACAATCCATCAACTCTTGGCGGTGCCTTATGTGTGTGTAGATAGTACGTGGATGGTAAGACCCTAAGGGTAATATGTTGTTGCATGCTCTTATTTCTCAAGAAACATCAATACACTTTAATTTCTTTGTTTTTATGTAGCTACAATGAATATGACTATTTTCTATGTAAACATTTTTACACGTAAATAATTTTGTCTGTACATTTTAAAGGAGTTCAATAAAATGTGTTTAAAGTTGAAACATATATTTTGATTATTTATTACTGTAATTTATGTTCAACAGTTACACAGTCATTACATTCCACCTCAGCCAAAGCTCAGCTCTAGTTTCAGGCCAATTGTCTATACTAGTATAAAAAATGGTTAGAAGTATAAAGCACATAGCTGACCCAGGTTGCTACAGGTGCAGAGTATTTTTGCCAGTCACACTGGACATTTGTCTCTGCCTACATCAAAAGATCTTAGGTTACTACGCCGGGAGAGCAGCACCAAGGCTCGAGTTTTGACAGTGTTCATTCATAGAAACACAAAGCTCCATCATTAAAGAATACATTATATGTCTTGGGTCTCACTTGCAAGTGAACTCAGATCAGTTAGGAGCATCCATTTACTGAGGGATAGGGCGATGAGATGTCAAGTTCAACCAAACTGGGACTTCCTCTCAAGACTGTGCTAACAGAAGCTCTCACAGTGGTCCCATTGTGCAGCAGCCCCTGTAGATCCCCCCTACACATGAAAGTAACACATGCCAGAGGTTCACCTCAGGAAAAGAAGTACAGATATTTTACTCTGAATGAGTCTTACAAAAATAAAAGCTCCTCTTGTAAAGCATAATAAGGTATTAGGCTAATGGGGGTCCTTTTCTACATCTTAAATTCTTGAGACTTGTACTGGTTTGTGCACATTGCTGAAGACTTTGGGGTGGGGGCAAGAGTGACCAAAAGTGATGTGCTCGGGTCCAGCCGGTCTCAGTGCCTACAGTCACACATGAGAGGCAGGGCACTCGGGTCAGCCATAGACCTACACACCTTGACGTCTCAGCCCATACACGCCCTCCCTCTTGTGGGCTCCCTGCACAACCCACCATCATTGGCCAAGTCCCGGAGCCCTCAGCATCTCCATCACGGCTGTAGGGACCATTCGGGAAAGCGAGAGACAGAGGTAAGCCTTCATAGATATCTTCATTCTGATTCAATAGTTAAGTCAAAAATAACCTGGCTCAGGTGACCTCCCAAAAAACAGATATTGAGAGTGTGCATGGTAACTTGCCCAATTGGGTAGTGAAAAGATTACAGGATTAAACAAGTAGATATGTGTCCATTTTTAATTGATTTTTTTAGGCCTCAATAAATATTACAAAAAAGCAAAGAACTGAAATACATATTTTTACAGCCAGATGTCTCATTTTGTAAATATGTCATTGTCTATCATTTCGATACAAATATATGTACAAAACATACCCATGGGACAGTCCCCTGGTTTGAGAGTGGTAAAGGGAATGGGGTAGAATCAGCAGATATCAGGAATGCCCTGGTAAGCCAAGCATAACACAGAGCTAGTCTGAAGGCTACACTCATCCACATATACACAAGTTTCCACTGTACACTGAGCTAAAGCACACCTCTGTCTGAAGATACGGTTTATTTCATAGTAGTAATACTACCTTTTATACTTTAAAATATGTCTGACATGATGTTAAATTCTAATATCTGCATACCAACAAAGATGACATGGCAATTGTGTGTAAAGATTCATTTTTATTGTATACCACTGCCAAATATAGAAGTGGAGGTTTTTCTTATTTTGTGTGTGAATGATAGGTGTGTCCAAACAGAGCATACATCTGTGAGGTGTCTCTGCCAGTGTGTGTCTATGTTTGTGTTTGAGCTCCGTGCTGCTCAAAGAAGCTTTTCCTTGCAGCTGTAACTCACTGCCATCCTGTCCACAAACCTCGGTGGAATTTGGAGTTTGAGTGCTGAGACAGGCACTGGCCGGTCCTCATAAAGGGTCTCTGTGAAAGTGTAGGGGTTGCGTTAGCAATCCTCGCTCCCTGGTTACAACGTACCAGCAAATCTCACTCTCTCCATGCAACCGTGAGCTCCAACATCTCTATGGCTAACCTCAGAGCTGTCATCTTCCATCTAAGGAAAATCACTTGGGCATCAAAAATATTTGTATTGATTGGTGATTATACAACAACGGGGTTGGAAATGACCATACAGACCATTTAATTGCTTTAAACCATAGCTAAATAAGAACATGGAAAACTTCAAGATTTTTATCAGATCAGTTCTTATTATTGACCTTTGACCAAAGCAGAACTGATTCACAGTGGGCCTTTGGCAGCAAGAAGGAGGCCCTCATATTTAACTGTCCACAGCTGTCTGCACCATAGTAATGAATTCAGACACTGTTGATGTCATGCAGTTCAGCTGAAAAAGGCCTATATATGACAGTGTTGATTACATTTTTCACCCAAACTCAACACATTTGAATCTACATCTATGTTATGACCTTGACCCTACTGTTCCACAGATGTAAAGCACAAATTATTTGTTTAATTATATTTCTTTACTGGTTCAAGGTGGACTATGAGGATGCTTGCACGGTTGTTGTTAGGACTTCTTGTCCTCAAAGCAGCAGTGGCCAACCCAAGATTTTCCCGCCAAACAGATTTGGATTATGACACAGAGAATGGGGAATATGACTATGAACTGACAACCAATCTACCGGTAAGAAATCCAGTCACACTGCCCACATGAGCACCCAGATATAACAGCCATTCAGAAGATTAAGTTACTGTACTCCAAAGCAGTAGTAGTGGCCATAAACATATTCGCACAATGCTATGGAAAGTCATCCGAACTGAGGTTCAATTATCAAACATATGGTAAATGTAAAACACTATGCAGATATACAACATTACTCGACAAGGCTTAAGTACATTAGGCCTTATCAAGTATTAGTGGCGATGGTTGGTAATGAGTTTTACAATTTTACAAAGAGCTGAGCAATTCGAGGCTTCTCTTTCTTGTTATTTATTGTATCGTGACAGGGGGTGTAATGAACAGATGTGAGGTGCAAAGACACTGGACTTAAAGCAAAGGCTAAACCAGCTGTTGTAATTTAATATTTGATATAATTTGTGTTAAATTAGGATCAAGAGTGATTTGATGAAAATCTTAAACATTTTATGTTATCTACATTCCATCTAAACATTATCACTTTCTGCTCTATTACTGCTGCAGTCCATATGCTGTACAATCTGAATTATTTTCCCACTTTCTTTCCCTGTCGGTTCTTTCAGAAAGCTCACATCCCGACACAATCAATTAAATAAAATGGCAATAATCTTAACATTACCTTCTAGCTATAATACACAAGAACTATTCGTTTCTACACATAAAATGAGAGGTCATCATCAGACACTGTTTAGAGTTCACCTTTGCCAAAACATACGTCATAGAACCAACAAGCAAACCCTCCTCCCCCACTCCCCCAACCCCCTCCCCACCCAACACCCCCCTCAAGCAGACAGGCAGTGTTAAAACAACAGGAGGCAGATTGCTGTAGTTTGCAAACAACAGCATGACACACGTGCACAATACGTAACTTTCTCCCATAAACTGTAATCTCCACACTGACAGTAATGAGAACGAGGCAGAATCTGCAACACGGCCACCATCGATGTTCTGATCATAGACTCTAAATATTAAGTTCTGACCCGGTTCCGAGCATTAGTCCAACTACTATGTCAACAAGTTCCAACAACACTTAAATACAACAAACTACCTATTTATGCCTAAACTTAACCATAGACTGTATATATTAACCAATAACCAGCCATTCCCATAAAATAACCCCAACCCGCCCTTAACCCTAACCTTAACCATCTTACTCAGACGACTAAAACTTAACCAGTCACCACTTAAGGACTTATTAGTCTAAAACTAATTCGAAAGCAGGATTGTTACTTCGGGTTTCGTCCCGATTCTGACGATTCCTGCCGACCGCAGGACTAGGGGCAGGACTAGGGGCAGGACTAGGAGGCAGGACTAGGGGCAGGACTAGGGGCAGGACTAGGAGGCAGGACGGCGCCACAGTGAGGCTCATGTCCAGGGGGCACTGTGTTGGTCCTGGCTCCTCTGCTCATCGTGATTTTAGCTTAAACCCGCTCTTGCCTCTGTTCTTGTCTCGGCTCTTAACTCTTCTTAAAGCACTCACAGATGCATGATTCTTCTTTAGTCGTATTTGTAAAACTTCATCATGAGCCTTTGTGCTGCACAAGCCTCTTGAGAATATTTATTTACATTTCAGCGCTACCGTGTCACGTGACCAAGACGGAAAAAGAGAATCCGGTCATTTTTCAAAATAAAAGGATCGTTCAGGCTCGGATAATAAATACGGAAATTATGTATTCTTTCCTTGGCGGCCCGGTTCGAATGTCCCACGGCCCGGTACCGGTCTGCGGACCGGGAATTGGGGACCACTAGTCTATAGTACAGCTATCAGGAGCGATTAAAGTGAATTCTAAAGTGGGTAAAATTAATCTTAAAGGTATATAGAAGGATTTTCAAAAAATTTAGGAAAAAACACCCTAGCCACTTTTTGAACAAAACTCGGGTCTTATTTGACGAGCAGTATCACCAGAATGATTGAAATTGGGAGGACCAATAGTCTTGATGATCCACCTGGAAGTAGAAAGTCCTCCTATATTCCTTTAAGTAAAAGTATAGTTGCTGCTAGCTAAAAAACTACCCCGTGGGTAAGAAGTACAAGTTGCATGAGCTCCTCAATACAGAACACGTTCTTAACAGTGACCTAGCTTCCAACACACATGTCCCTACATGTTTTCTTTCTATTTACATTTGAAAATTTGCACTTGAGTTGGTGATTTTACAATTCGAGTAGATGGAAATTAGCCCAAGGTTCCAATCTGGTGTATATTCAGCACCTGCTGTTCATTAATACACACTGTCCCATCCAATTAAGCCCAATAACAAAACACAACAACAGGCATGTGACAGTTATCGCGACTGAGATCAATAACAAAAGGTATTTTTTGCTTTATTTCATCTTCAATTATCATTGTTTGGACTGTCAATGATTGTGGTATAACAATAACAGACATTAACATGACAAAAAGGGATGGGTTCACCCTCAGGCCCTGTTTATACTGAGACGCTGCGCAGACGTTTCCAGGCTATTAACAGAAACGACCTGGCTCCTAATGCAAATTTCTCAGCGTTCACATGAGGTTGAAAAACGATGTAGTTCTAGCGCCCGGCCAGTAGTGGGCAGAGAAACTTTACAACACTCACACGACCCCCAGCCCCGTGCCCAGCCCCCCCCTCGGCAGTATATTCACTTCCTGTGCCAGACCCTCAGGACGCACCAGCATCATTCTGCATTTTAACAGCAGCTGTGAACATGGGAACTAAACCTAGAGCTTCGCGTGGTCTCGTTTGGACGAACGAAGGTGTAGAATTATCCTCTGTCCCGCGCTGGAAGCCCACGTAGCTAGTTTGTGTGGGTAGCGCCATTGTTGTTGATGGTTGTTCTCCGCTACTGCGCATGTCCAAATGTACGTGCGGGGAGCAGCACGGAGGCGGGGGTCAGAGCAGAGGGGGATTTCACACCTTTCACCTCTCGCGGGTGTGAAAGAGCTCCCCGCTGTGCAGCGTATCTGTGGCTGAGTTTACACGGAGACAATGTGGCAGTAAAACGGTATAGTTGGATGTCGGTTGCTACCAACCGTTCATACGAAGACTGTGTTCCAGGGGGGTGAAAACGTAAGTGTTCAGATCCAGCCTGCAGAGTGGGACAACTCAGATACGCTGCACAGCGGGGAGCTCTTTCACACCCGCGAGAGGTGAAAAGGTGTGAAATCCCCCTCTGCTCTGACCCCCACCTCCGCGCTGCTCCCCGCACGTAAATTTGGACATGCGCAGTAGCGGAGAACTAACATAAACAATAATGGCGCTGCGCACACTAACTAACTTCGTGGGCTTCCAGCGCGGGACAGAGGAGGATTCTACTCCTTCGTTCGTCCAAACGAGACCACGCGAAGCTCTAGGTTCAGTTCCCATTTTCACAGCTGCTGTTAAAATGCAGATAGATGTTGGTGCGTCCTGAGGGTCTGGCACAGGAAGTGAGTATACTGCCGAGGGGGGGGCTGGGCACGGGGCTGGGGGTCGTGTGAGTGTTGTAAAGTTTATCTGCCCACTACTGGCCGGGCGCTAGAACTACATCGTTTTTCAACCTCATGTGAACGCTGAGAAATTTGCATTAGGAGCCAGGTCGTTTCTGTTAATAGCCTGGAAACGTCTGCGCAGCGTCTCAGTATAAACAGGGCCTGAGTTGTCCCACTCTGCAGGCTGGATCTGAACACTTACGTTTTCACCCCCCTAAAACACTGTCTTCGTATGAACGGTTGGTAGCAACCGACATCCAACTATACCGTTTTACTGCCACATTGTCTCCGTGTAAACTCAGCCTCAGACTCTCAGATGCAAATGCTGAAACCTCAATGCATCAACTATACTTCAACCAAAACGAATTAAAAACAATAAAAGGTTTTATTGAAACTGTTGGGATTAATCTAATTTATTTTGATGCCATACTGTAATCTGCATATATTTGCAGATTTGATACATTTCATGCCCTATAGAAAAGGAAGCTCTAGGAAAACTCCGGTACCAAACCGGGCCCCATCCAAACCAATGGTTTTTCAACTGTTTTTGTATTCATAGGCAAGGCAAGGCTATTTTATTTGTATAGCACAATTCATACACAAGGTAACGCTGAACAAAATAAGATAGCATTAAAATAAATGATCACAGTACATTAAAAAGAAAGAAAAAATTTATAAAATCCCTCTGTTGTATGCACAGCTAAACAGAACCGTTTTTTAACCTGGATTTAAACATTGTCAGAGAGGCTCCTCCATACCTCACTGAACTTCTACAGCCCTACAGTCCCTCCCGTCGACTCCGATCTGCAGACTCACATCTCCTCACTCCCACTGTCAAATCCAAGCACTGAACCGAGGGGGGGCCGAGCTTTCGCCATCTCTGCTCCCACTCTCTGGAACTCTCTCCCCCCTCATCTCAGAAACTCGGACTCACTAAACTCCTTCAAAAAACAGCTAAAAACTCACCTCTTCCTACAAGCATATGACTCTTAGTCTCAACTTTATACTCTTCTTTCCTGCTTTTTAGATTTTTAGTTTTGTGTGTCTGTCTAAACGTATGTGTGTGTGAGTGTGTGTGTGTGTGTGTGTCCTGAATTGTGAAGCGTCTTTGAGTTTTTGAAAAGCGCTATATAAAACCGATGTAATATTATTATTATTATTATTATTATTAGATTGTTCCAGATTTTAGCCTCATGAATCTGAAATGCAGGCTCCACATGTTTAGTCCTGACTCTGCATGGCACCAGCAGGAGTCCAGACCCTGTGCTCCTCAGAGTCCGGGCTGGTTCATATGGGACTGACATGTCACTATAGTACTTTGGTGCGAGGCCATGGGGAGACAGAAAGTCTATTCTCTGAGCCACAGGAAGCCAGTGCAGAGACCTGAGAACTGGACTAATATGGTCGTACTTCCTGGTTCTAGTCAGGACTCGAGCTGCTGCATTTTGAATGTACTGCAGCTGTTTTACAGCCTGTTTGGACAGACCTGTGAGCAGGCCATTGCAGTAGTCTAACCTACTGGAGACAAATGCATGGATAAGAATCTCCAAGTCTGCTTAAGACACTATGTTTTTGATCCTGGCAATGTTTTTAGGTGTCAAAAAGCTTATGATGTTACTGTTTTGATGCAGCTATTGAAATTTAAGTCTGAGTCCAGTATTACTCCTAGATTTCTGATCTGATTTGAAGATCAGAAATCAGGTTCATACTGTATTTCTTCAACAGAGTATCTCAAGGTTCTGTCACTTCTGCTCCAAAAAATATAAATTGAACTCAAGGACATTCACCAGTAGTTCTTCTAAACAATGCTAAATTGAATATTACTGTTTACAGTCCGTAGAACCGCTCTATGAGCAAAAGTGAGATCAGTCTCATTACTTTTAAGAGAAAAACATCAAGATGAGTCTAAGTGCATTAAATAACTCCATTCTGGATCCAGTAGAGGACAGGTAGATGTGGACACATTAACTTTTGGAACGTAGCAGCAATCGTTGTGGCTTGTACAGTAGGTCCAGAGGTCCGCTAAATTTGTGTGCCTGCAGTAACAGATTGCACACTAAAGTGGAGCCACACGTATTAGGACACACATGCATTTTTTCCAACTTATGGCCTTCAGTCAAAAATAAACAATATATACATGTATTAATGTTTCAATTACATGTCCACCACTTACAGCTATCAAACAGTGAGAGGACTGACACAGATTGACTTTCTTTCATAAAGTCTTGTATCTGACCAAACATGTGCATCTGACTTCAGCTTATAGTCTTATAGTCTATGACTATAAGATCCTCCAGCGTCACCAAACATTTCAAGAGGCAGGCGTCGTTCGTCTGCGCCTAGATCCCTGTGTGTCAGCACTTTGCTCTCTGTGGGGCTACACGGTGTTCCCGGGGTAATAGAGCTGACTCCTGTGGCTGTGAGGCAGAAATACTGTATAACATGTGAACCTTACTGATTCAAAATTCATTTCATTTTCATTCTGCTCTCAATATATATATATATATATATATACAGTATATATATATATATATATATATATACAAAGAGATACCACTCACATTGATATGATGTATATACTGTATATATTGTGTTATTAGAAAGTGGTGTACAAAATATCCCTTAATAGGAAAACAAAGTTGGCCCACGAGAATTGTGATCTAGTTAACAATTCTCAACAAAAAGGAAACACCTTATGAGACCCACAGAGGAAAAAGTTTGTGATGCCAGCACAGATTTCTCAAGAAGGGATTTTTGGCTTTCATAAAACCATCACTATTTTGAATTGACTTTGCACATTACATTATGACTTCAGAGGAAAGAAAAAAAAACGTATGCAATTATGGTTACTTATGCTCTTTATCCTGTCTGTACACTATAATTTCCAGTTTGGGTTTTGTTTACAAAATATTCAAAGACTGAAGAGCTTAAATGAGAACTAAAATATTGAATTTGAACCATTTGGTTTCACAGGCCAACATATTTGAAGGGATTTAATACAGACACGCTACGTAATCTAAGATACTTCTACTACATACATTTAGCACAAATGAAGCCTGAAACCTACATATACTAAACTGCAGAACTGTTGTATTTTAGGTGGATCCAGTAAAAAAATTGTGAAATGTTTTTCTCAAATCTGTATTTTTTTTAATTGCACATTTGTTTTAGTTTTATAGACTAATTGTTTGAAAATGATTATGTAACAGATAGTGTATATCCCACTGGAATACACTATTCCAGAGTATATCCCATTTACAGTGGTGGCAAACACTGACATGGGAAGACAAAAGTTCTGCTCATGAACTTCTGTACCTAACAGTTGTTATGATATTGTAGATTACTAATAAATGGTTTGATTAAACATGGTTAATTGGTTAAAGATGCCATCTAAGTGCCGAATTGCATTATAAGTACAGATTTATGGATTTTTATGTTTTGATGATTGGGGTTTAAAACCTGTCCCAGGCTGTGTGCATTACTGGTTGCAGAGTTTGCCTCTTTCTCCCATGGGTGTATATGTTTGCTTTGGGAAAGAGGGAAATGACGGGTAGTGCTGCAGCAAGCTAACCTTATGCATGTTTTCAAAGAGCCGCCTTGTTGTATCTCACACAGCATTTGTGCCAGCATCTGAAATCTGTCTCGAGCAGAGATGTACATGTGTATGTTTTGTTTATTGATAAATAGCATACTCTAACTGTAAGTTTTCAATTGACCAGTAGGAATAAAATATGATTTCTGCAGTCACCATGTGTGTCTTGGATCCACATGGACCATTCAGTTTTGGTGCATGGTGTCAGTATTGACAGAGTCCCAGGTAATACCTGTAGTGATGAATGGGGCTGTATTGCCCCCATCTGGTTCATAATGAAACTACATCACTAGCTGCTTCATGTCATGGTTAAGTACTTGTTTTGTGTCAGTGTTGCATTGAGGCACGCGATAGGTCTCACGATAATATCACTTTTGATGGATAGCTAAACAACGTGTTTGTGTATTCAGCTAAAGCAAACTTACCTCACCTTTGGTGTTTTTTCTTAGATAGAGGTTGAAACACTATCAACGGAACTGGAGGCAGAAGAGGAGGAAGAGGAGGAAGTGCCCTTGAAGCCTCAACTCATCCCACAGGGTTCAGGAGGGTCTGGGGTCCTGATGGGTCCTGACACACAGAAAGGTCTGAAATAGCATGACCAGGCCTAGCCCATCAACATTGTATTGAAATCATATTAATAGATAGAAGTCAGATGAAAAGGAAAGGGAAAGGTACATGCAAGGTACATGTCTGTTCTTGTGTCTTTTCCTATGCATGAGTTCCATTTAACTTGCAGCTTAAGGTTAAATGTGTATTTCTTGTTGTCATATTAACCTAATCAGTGTTCTCTTGACATTAGTGTGTTCATTAATACCAAATCTTCTCTCTAACAAGAGGTGGAGCTGCGTCTGACGCCCATTGACATCCTTCATGTGTCCGGGGATGAAGGAGGCTCCACGGGCTCAGGGGGCTCTGGAGGCTCTGGGGGCTCTGGGGCTTCCGGGGAGTCTGGAACGTCGGCTTCTGGGGGGTCAGGGGGTTCAGGGGACATAGTCTTTATCTCAGGTGCATCCCAGGAGCTGCTGGAGTCAGGTTATGGCTCTGCAGGCTCAGGAGGCAATGGGGAGTTCTTGCTCTCTGGAGATGTCATTTTCTCTGGAGACCTGTCTGGTTCTGGGGAGGCCTCTGGATCTGGTGATCTCTCCGGGGGCTCCGGGGATGTGTCTGGAGGCTCTGGAATCCCCATCGAGCTGGGATCTGGAGAATCCGGAGACCTCTCTGGGTCTGGGATATCAGGGGCCTCTGGAATCTCTGGAATCTCTGGGGCTTCTGGTGAATCTGGTTTCTCAGGGATTACATTAATAGAAGGTGAGTACTAATCTTGCCTAAATTACAGCTCAAAGGGATTTGTGATCCTTCCGTTTAGGCTCTAGATCAATGTTTTCCAAAACAGCCCTGCAAATCTTTATATAATAATACTGTATGCAGCTTTAAGATTGCAGTCCTCTTTCACAACATTGTATTGCTTGAAGTTCAATTATTAACATGTTTTCACTAGCTTCACTAGTTATAGTTTAAAATTGAGCAGATTTGTTTTGGAAAATACTGTTCAAGAGTCATTGCCTCCATGTGTTTTGTATCAGAGGCTCTCGTTTAACTGCCTCATTATTCTGTGGTTAAATGTTGTATTTGTTTGTAACACCAGCTATTGCCAACTTTTCTATTAACATTATGTCTCCTAACTGATTGTTTAAGGCGAGGAAGTGCTCTTGATCTCTGGGACTGGTCCCAGTGAAGCATCTGGGACATCTGGGGAGTTGTCTGGAAATTCAGGGGTATCGGGTGAAGAGTCCGGGGACGTAGGGATCTCAGGAACCTCTGGAACGTCTGGTGGCTCTGCCTCTGGAGAACCAGAGCTCCCTGGGGTCACTTTGATACCTCCAGGTCAGTTTCTCACTCTAGTGAGATAAACTGTTGAAACACATAAAAAACTAAGGGGGGTAAACACTTTTAACTCTATAATTTGCTATATTAACTGCTAATTTAATTTAACAAGAATGGCAATGACACTGATTGCCAGGGCAGCTTTGCTTTTTATGGTCTAACCTGTCCCTTTCCAAACCTAATCTTGTCTCTAACAAGAGGAGGGGCTGATTCCCACAACAACACAGAGCCCCGAGGAGGGCAAAGGAGAGGTAGAGGGCCCAGTGAGTTCTGGAGAGACAGACGAGATTGTGGAGCCTGACCGCCAAGGTCAGTAGTCAGGCACTACAGGGTAAACACTCTGAAATGTGTGGGCTAAATACAGACTTCAATAGCACAGGCACCGCAGGTATAAGCCTTGTGTTCTGTGCTGTAGGTATGCCCACTTGTCTGCTGTGTACATGTCTGGGTGGCTCCGTCTACTGTGATGACCTGAGGCTGGACAATGTACCTCCTCTCCCCAAAGATACCACTCACTTCTATGCACGCTACAACCGAATCACAAATATCCACAAGTCAGATTTTGCAAATATGGGTTTGTGAATTACCAAAATAATCAACATTGGGAATTATTATTGAGTAAAAACTGAAACCTAGGGTTTTTCATATATATTTTAGGCAAACTTAAAAGGATTGACCTGACCGCCAACGAGATCACATCCATTGCTGAGGATGCCTTCATTGGGCTTCCTGAACTGGAGGAGCTGCTGATCAGAGAGAACCACGTCTCACAGCTGCCTGCCCTGCCTGAAACTATGACCCTCATCGACGCAAGCCACAATAACATTGGTTCTAAAGGCATTCATAGAGAGGCCTTCAAAGTAAATATATTTCCATTAATGAGCACCCTCTTTCTCTCACAACATATTGCTAATACACTCTTCTTTTCTTGGACTAGGACATGACTGCCTTGCAGTTCCTATATATGACAGACAACAACATTGACTACATCCCTGTGCCTCTCCCTGACAGTCTGCGCTCTCTACACCTACAGGTAGGCTATAAAGACTATGTATGTAGAGTTGCTTTCAAAATAATAGCAGTATGTTTAACCATTTGAATAAAGCAAAGCATTATTATGTTGGTGCATTGCACATTCTAAATTACAATATAAATGTATTTGTTTTATTTTATCACTTAAATAATACAAAAAATACTAGAATATTATAAATTAGCATTTATCAAAGATGTCAACTGCATGGCCTAAAAATAAATAGAGAAGCATGCTGTGCACTCTAAACACACAATGTACAGTAGTGCAAGCCTTTTGATCTGAGGATGTTTCTCATAGTATGGTGTCAGGCCTATGTACTGTATTGTTGACCTGGGATCATGGACCAGTTTGAAATCACAAAACTTGGCAGGGTTAGAGGCCTTATGCAGAGGCAACACCCTCCAAACGGCTCTTTCAACAAGGCCACAGCCACAAAAAGGAATGGTCTAATCCCCTAAATATCGTATTTAGTTAAAAATAGAACATCAAGAAAATAATATTTCTGTGGCAAAAACAATGAATAGAGCAGATTTATTGTGGAACGTTGTCAAATCATACCAGTTCAGTTTGGCGACTCCTTGCTACACATACTCATAAACCATGGTTATAAAGGAGAATTAGTTCAGTCTTTCACACAAAATAGTTATTATGATACACAATATATATACTGGGATTTCTTGTTATGTATTTGATGTAGTTTTCCCAAATGCATGCAATTAAATAATAAGGAGGATTTTGATCTTTTAGTTACATTTGTGAACAGCTATAATTTTGAACCTGACTATCTCAGTAACATAACAATATTGGATCTATGTCAAGTTCCAATAGTGTATCCCTCAATCTCATTGAGTCACCATCACATGTTTAAAATGAACTGATTAAACCAGAGACTGAGGGCCCGGTGCAGCCCAGCCCCTTTGTAAAAATATGCCCATTACTTTTTGAGTTATCTTACTAATAATAAGAGAAGATAAACGTTATTGATCTCATAGTGGAATAAAAACTAATAAAGACAAACCTTGGTGAGTGAAAGTATACCCTTTAATGATCCCAAATTAGTGTCTAAATGACCTGGTGAAGTTTATAAAAATCATCAAAAGTCAGCACATTAAAGAAATATTTAGGGTATTTTTGTATCAATACTGTGGCTCAATTTATCCAGAGGACGGCACAAAGGTTAAATCCAACTAAATGTTTATACGTGTACTGTTTTCTACAAATAAATAATATCAACTTTCTCTAGCGTAACAACATTCAAATGATGCATGAGGACACATTCTGCAACTTGAAAGATTTCAACTACATAAGGAACGCGCTGGAGGACATCCGCCTGGACGGAAACCCAATCAACCTGAGCAGGACCCCTCAGGCGTACGTGTGCCTGCCCCGTATACCCATCGGGACTCTTGTGTGACTTCACACACACTAACATGTACTTTTGCACACTCTGCAGCCACCTGTACATACCGACACATAGATACACTTACAACTGCATTTCAGTGGTTTAACTGCTGCTGACCGATTGAACTCTTTGTGGATATTTATGGTTCAGGCACCTTCACGAGTTGATATTTTGGTCAAGCACTGATATTTCTCTGATTGTTGGTATGACATCAATGATTCCAACTATACAATTAACACTTAAGACATGCTACAATTACATAGCATGTACTGATCAAAACAATGCCACAAATTAACTGCAGATATGAATAGGTGCCGTTCTGTTAATTTAATAGATAAATACTAAAACAGCTCATGTGTTAATTTAGTGTCTGTTCAACCTGGCAGGTGTTTACTACCATTGTTTAAATACGTTTTGTAAAAAAAAAATGTTTTAATAATTTTATTGATATTAATGAAAATTCGGAGTCCTACGTTTATGAGCATGAGCAATGAAGCTTATGTAGGTATAATATAATTAAAGCAATAAAATGTGCATTTAAACACATTCACTTGTTGTAAAGTCTGTACTGTATTTTTTTATAATAAGAGCTGAAATTTATTATATATATTTGATTTCATGATTAATTGTAATGATGCAAATTCAAGACTTGGACATCCAGAGTCCACTATAAAAACTGAAGACAGAGGGAGAGGGTGGGACTATTGTGGACGGGTGAAACTAACAACTATACTTTTTGTGCTCTCTGTTTGGAATAACCACAAGGAAATAAAAGCATTTTGAAGACCTCTCCAAACTACATGTGCCTTGGTTTGTTTTTATTCATATTTCTATTTGGTGGAGCATTAAAAAAAAAAAAGTAATTTTAAGCATTTATAGATATTACTGTAACAAACAATGATAAATCTAAAATGACATTAAAAATTGCTGATAAGCTTTTCAAACAAAAAAAGAAATTTTTCCTTTCTGTCTGCAGAGTCTGTATTGTCCGATTCGCTCTTTGCTCCCACCAGTCTGATTCTCTCCTGCTCCAGAGCCTGCCGGCCTCTGGACACAGCCTCCTTCTCCCTCTCCACCAACGCCCTCTCTCTGTCGAGCAGGGCCTTCTCTCTCTCTATAGCAGCTCTGTCTCTGTCCAGCGACGCTCTCTCTCTCTCCAGTGATGCTACTTCTCTGTCCAATGCTGACCGTTCTCTTTGCAGCAGCTGGTGCTCACGCTCCATCATTTGCTTCTGCTGATCCATCACTTTCTTTTCATTGTCCACTTGCTCCAAGATGTGCCCTATATCCAGACTTCCTTCTGAAGGTATCTCTTGATTTAATGTGACCTCAACTTCTGGTCCTGCGAAGAATTCAGAAGAGGATTCAGGAGCCAGTGATTCTACTGAGGAAATTGCAGGCATTATTAGCCGCCTCTTCTTTCGTTTGGGACAGTTCAAGACTTCAAATCTGTCTTGTTGTGTCGTTGTGAGAACAGTAGCACTGTTATCAAGTCGCCCTTCCATGGCATCATTCATTAAAGTGAAAAGAGGCCAGTGAGGAGATTGTGGCTCTTTACTGTCATCACCTTGAATAGTATACTTGAGATCCTACAAAAGGTAAACCAAGAAAACAGTTACATTATAGAAAATATGTATATATAAAACACTTAATTTATCATTTCATTTTCATTCTTTCATGCAGATCTGTGCACTGTATCCCACAGAAAATCACCCTTGGGGACAAAGTTTATCTTCTCGTATCTTATCTCAAAGAAAAAGACATGGTTTCTGTATTACCTTGTATCTCTTTTTCAAATTCTCCCATTTTTTGGCTGCTTGATAGTGAGTTATTTTGTCTTGTAATCCCATGTGTCTGAGAATAGTACTAACCAAAACATGTTTTTAAAAAAACAGTTCAGTTTTTATTTTTGTGCAGAGGGTAATTGATCACGTTATGTAATAATAATGCTTACCTCCATCCACACATAGATGCATTTCTTTTTCCACTAAAAAGATTTTGATTTGACATTCTCAACTTAACCAACTCCTGCGTCTCCTTTGGACTCACTAGAATGTAAAGAGTAAGTAAATGAATGCACAACATTGAACACATTTAATTGTAGAGTAAAACATGTCTGTGCTTGGAACAGCTTGTGCCCACTCGCTGGTCTTAAGTGGACTCCCTTGAGCCCAAAGCCACTTGTTAGGAAGTTGAAGACTAGCTAGGTGCGTAGTTTAACATCAAGCATTTCCGCCATTTTACTCACATTTATACACGAACTCAGGAGGAAAGGTTTCTTTATCTCTCTCATTATGACAAGGCTTTTGGTCAGTATAGTCATGACACTCCATGGATATTCTTGTGAGATATTGCTGGTCTGGCGGAGGGTCCTTGATGAAGACAGGAGTTCCACTTGATTCAGAGGGCTCCAGGTCTCACTCGCCGCTCTCGGGGACACACGGACGCCCCCTACTGTCACGGAGTCTGAGACTTGTTCGATGTTAGTCATAATAAAATCTATGGTACAAGTCTATTTGCTTTTCATGTGTTGTTGCCAGTATGGCCTCTTGCGATTACCAAAACAAGCACACATAATGTATCATTTTTGATGTATTTTCTTTATATTCATATACACTTTCAGTTAACTCCATTTACAAATATATTTCACATGATCGAAAAAGAACTAATACAGTTGAATGATGGAAAAATAGTGCATTAATGTGTTTTGTTTATATAGTTAAAATAAAACAAACTCACATTGCTCCAAAGAGACATCAGATAACATTCAGTTACAAAGGGCAATGATAATAGAGAAAACATCAAATTCAACATAAGGTCACTGCCAAACTTCTTCTGCTACTTTAAGAATTATTGCACACAACTCATCTAAGGCCTCCTGACCCGACATTTCAAGGCCATGTTTTAATAATTATATATTTACATGGTCATTGTGTCTTGAACCCAGTTTCATCTACAGTGAAAAGTGCCAAAACATGGCAGTCATCCATCCACTAATTGAGCGTATTGGTCACTTAACAGCCACAAATTCATTCATTTTAAATCCTCAATGACTTGAGGTTAACTTCAGTAACATGCACGATTTTGGTAGAATTCTAAAGTGAGAATAGCCATTTCATTATCCACAGGAAAGGCACAGTGGCCCACAAACAGTGCAAGTGATGTTTAACAAAAAAGTAACAGGATCATCTGTTACTCCACAAAGACATAGATACAACATAAAGGCAAACTGATAAAACCTGCTTTGTATGCATCTTTAAAATGATGGAATTTCAGACGCATTACAAATGATACAAAACAAAAAATACTGATGTCAATTGTTCATTTGGATATTTTAAAAGGTTAAAATATAATAAGGATACAATTCAGAATGCTTGTTTTGGTCCTGAAACCATCGAAGCAAGTTATTCTTATTTTTTTACCAATCTAGCAATTACTATAACAGTGAACTTTAGCAGGAATGAAGAGTATAAAAATCAAGAAACAAGCAGTTATACAAAACCAACAAACCTCTTTTCAATATGACCCAATACAATTTGTCATACAAAGTCCCCCCAGCGCACACCAACTTGGAGTATAAAATTGTACGAAAATATTTTAATTCCCAGCATTTTATGGAATATATTTTCCCCAAACGCTTCCATGTCAAAAACACATTTTAGGTCCATTTTAAAAAGGACAATATCCAATTCCATCACTAAAAAGATACAAGTTTTCTATTTTTGAATTTTCCAATTAAATATATTTATCTAAAGTAAAATGCAATTAATCTTTCTAATCACTTCTGCGTTGCTAGCCAAATAGATCTTTTAGATCGTTGTTAACAGATGCACTTTGTTTAATAGCACTTTGGTTCATGCCAGATGAGACTGCAGGTTGAGAAAAGTTTTGTGGATTGAAAAAGGGGTTTGTTTGCATCCCAAATCCCCCCATGCTTGCTGGGGTGGTCGGCATTGAAGAGTTATGGGCTGGAGTAAACTGATTAGGCCAAGGAGTACTGTTTGCCGAAACCGGACCAGGAGGTGGGCCCATTTGGTTGAGTGAAACTTTGGGCTTATTAGATGTAAAGAGATTGTCCAGGGCCGTCATATTTGGAGTTTTATTTGCGTGTCCCACTGCTTGGTTCTGTGTCAGGGCACCAAAGTTTGGGGTGCTGGTGGTGGTAGCCATCCCACCATAAAGACTGGGCCCTGTTGAACACAAAGCCATCCCAATGGGAGGAGCCTGAAAGCCCATGGTTGTGTTGTAGCCATTGGACAATGGTGCCCCCATGGAGCCCACCATTGGGTTTGGAGCGGGAAAGGACACAGTGGATCCGGGCACAGTACCAGGACGAGGCGTGTTGGCCAAGGACAGACTATTCAAAGAGGTCATATTATTAAGAAGACTGCTGGTCAGGTCTTTTGTCTGTAAAAAATAATTACATAAAAAAATATAGACAGGTAAACATAAGAGAACAGGTTAACCTACAGTGTGCACAGATACCTGATTGGAGGAAGAAGAAGCTGGTTTGACTGATTGCGGTGCTAATGGTTGCTGACTTCGAAGTTTGGCAGCCTGTTCTTGTTCTTTTGCAAGCCGTTGTTTTTCTTCCATTGTTAGAGACATCTGAGGGAAGAAAAGCAAAATACAAAGTCAATTTACATATGAGAATCATGCTAAAATAGGGAATGTAAAAATACTCTACTCTGTTAGGCACTGATCCTGAAGACCCGTTTTCTTTTCCATTGACAGTTGTGCTTCCAAAAATATCATCAATCTAAAAAGTAGGAGTATGAAGAAAAATATAACAATGAAAAACAAAAAGCACCACACCAATATTACATATATATTTTGTGCAAATGCATAATCTAACCTGGTTTCCAGACTTTGGAATGGATTTTGTCTCTTCTGACTGGATCCCTTGGTTGGATACATTTAAACTTCTATAAAAACAAGATTTTAGTTTGCATTATATTGTGTTAATATTGTGTTTTATGATATTTTTTTTAAAAACCTGGTCTGTTCTTGCATCGCATGCAGCTGCTCCAATTTTGTCTTGTGCTCTGCCTCCATTCGACTCAGCATATCCCGAATAACCATCATGAAAGAGTTAAACTGTTCAAGATAAAATCCTTATTAAATGACAATCAAAATAAGACGTGATATGGAGGATAGTTGATGTACCTGGTTCAGATTGAGGTTATTGTCTACACTGAGAGACACAAGGTGCGGCAAGCTCTTGGTGGCAAGATGCTCTTTGGGAATGCCCAGCTTCTTGTGACTGAAGGTGCACTTGTAAATTCCTTTAAAATGTAAATAATTATAATTATAACAATAATATTAATATTTGGACTTTGAGTTTGTAATAAAGAATTGATTGAATTAAATACAAAAAAATCAAATTCAATAGCAAATATGATGTGGAAGATAAATACCTAGAATGCCCATAAGCACTGCTGGTTCTCTGGATGGAATCTGCTGCAGGAACGGGAGGATTTCATCGATGACAAACCACTTGTCTAGATATTCCAAAATTTTCCCCAAACACACAAGAGAGTTCACCCGCACCTATAAATGGGAGAAGACAAAGTACATTCTTAATTGTTAAAAAAAAAAAAAGATGTAAACAAAAGTTTTTAATAATAATCAAAGTCAAACTCACGGCAAGAGAAGATGTCTGCAGACACGCAGATTTGATCTTTGGAATAAGGGAGTTCTTCATTGATGGGTAGTCAATCAGATTGGCAAATGTTGGAATAATGTTCAAACATAGCTCCTGTTTTTTTAACAAATACATTTGGATGTAATCAATATTCTGACACTTCTCTAAAAATCTGTGTTTTTGCCAATACCTGTATCTGAACAGAAGGAGCTTCAAGAGCCCGATAGACCATAGGCAGCACACTGTTTTTGATGTCTTCTGCTGGGGTTTTGGTCAACAGCAGGTCCATTTTTTGAAGAAATATTAACAGAATCTAAGAAATAAAAAAAATAAAAAATTATGATTAGAAGAAAACAAAACACATACACCTGGATATGGGAAATGGAGGTAGTTTTGTTAATTATCATTACTGTTGTTATTAAATGTCAGACTGTAGAACCCACTCACCATATTACTAGCCTGAAGAAGCATGAAGGAAAAATGAAAACAGACAATTCTTGAAACCATGTAAATGTATGAATCAAGTGTAAAGTGACAAATTAGACATGCATCACAGCCTCTGTGTTTTACTAACCAGCCAGGGTTAAGAGTTACATGCAAACAGATTTTTACCTGGATGGGCTCTTGCTGCTTGAAAACTGGTGTGAGATCTGGCAGAATGAGTCGAACATACTCCTCCTTGGTGCAATCTTCAGCAATGAGCAGAACGTTTGGAAGTACAAAGGGAACCATATCAGGGTTGACAAACTCTGAAGTCAAAGCCGGCAAGATCCGATATACAACTACTCTCTGCAGAAATAACACATGACAAGTCTGGTAACAATATCATTTGTGTAGTATACAGTACATATGATGGTATTGTAAAAGAGCAGCAGACCTTGGGTAGTTTAGGTAAAACTTTAGGCAGGCCTTTATAAAACTGTGACTTTTGTAGGTTGTCTCTTTGAAAGAGTGAGTCAAAATACTGAAGAGTTACTGCTCCAACATCATCAAAAAAAGGGATCTGAAAAAAAAACATGTATATTCTTGAATAAATCAAAATGCAAAAGTTTTTTTCTTCAACACACCAAATAGATTTGAAACCAAACTTACTTTTGTTATCTGGTCAGCATCAGGTCTTACAGTTGATGCAACACTTAAAAGCATCTTCACATGGTCTCGAACCTCTTCTGGCATTTTGTTCAGGAGTGCTGGACTTATGTTGGTGAGCTGCAATATATTAATAATAATAAACTGAATAATGGAGAAATGCTCTGAAGAGTAGATTACAATAAATATCCAAATGTAATAATGGATTTCTTTTGGTCACTCACCTGATCCAATTGTCTGCTGAAGCTTTTAAAAATGTCATGCTTGTTTACTTGGAAAACAGGCTTTCCTTCATTGAAGACAGCATGCATGACCACACCCAGAGAGTACATGTCCGAGGCCGAGTCACAGCTCACTGACAGGATGTACTCCGGAGCAAGGTACTCCGGGTTAGGGAGGCAGAGTGGAGGGAGGTTAGGCTCCCACTCCTTACATGTGTATTTAGGCTGTGCGGAGAGCTAAATGAGTCTACCATACATCAATTTAGCGATATATTATGCATACTGTACATGCTTAAGACATACAGAATAAGATCGATGGGACTAAATCATTACTGCAAGTAGAAAAGAGCAATAATTCAACCTACCTCGGCATCAGAGGGGTTGCAAGACGAAATGCTGAAATCAAAACCCATGATTTTCCAGGCACCACTTTTATTGAGAATTATGTTTTCGGGACTCAAGTTTCCATGAACCATTTTCACTCCGCTGTGTAGAAACGATAGGCCTTCAGAAATCTATGAAAAATAATGTTTTAGACACTTCATTAGACACATTGCATAACTGAAAGCTACTAACTGAATGCAAATGACAATATGGAAGACTAAAGATAAACAATGCATTTCCACCCTCACCTGTAACAAGCCATATTTTGTTTCCACATCAAATAATTTATATTCCTTTATGTCGTTGGGCACAGGACTAGGGAGGTTGTCCCATTGACCCAGCACATTAGCAAGACTGGCAAACACTGGCTCGGTACAAAATGCCAGACAATCTCTGAAAAATTAACAAAATATCAAGTTAGATAGATAGATATTAGTTCAAGTTACTGTGTTTCTCTGTTACTTTTTGTGCGCCGTATAATAAAATAAAAAGAGTAAGCAACATTTGCATCAGACAGTCTAGTCACAGCTTCCCTGAGCTAGACTGACTGATGCAAGGCTGTCAATAGGCACCACTGGCCACTCTAACCACTCCCCACATCAGGTTCATCATTGATGAAGTCCATAGCCCATAGAAGAAAACAAAGCGTCAGATCAGGTTCCATTCAATAGAGAGCTGCCATTCAGACAGTAACCTGAAACATTCATGCTATTACAGAACAAATCCTTGGGCAGGTCAAATATTTTCTAACTCATTTCCTAAGGACAAAACAATCAAACAATGGGGCAATAGCAGCAATAGGCCAGACATTTGTGTTTAGGAACTTCTAAATCAGTGTTCAAGCTAGTAGTATTCATAGAATATAAAAAAAAAAAATTGTTACTGAGAATCAAATGATCACAGTAGTCCAATGAGGTGCATACACTCAGCAGAGACCCTCAAGTTTTTGAATTGTCCAGACCAAGGTCACCCAAAGCGATTTACATTTCAGAGTTCAGATATTTTTCCATTCACTCCACACTGTGATGACAGAAGCTAGACAACGAACAGACTGGCATCAAAGCCCCCAACCAACACCACCGATCACTCTTACATTCAAACCTATTGTGCATGTTTTTAGTGGTGAGGGTAACCGGAGCAGACACAGGGAGAACATGCAAACTCCAACACCCATTATGTGCAGCCATTCCAAAATTAAACATTCTGCGTCATAATCTAACTCAATCAATACAGACAGACTTCAAGTTCATGCATCTGTAGTTTTGCAAATCTTTAACTTTCAACTTAATAATCAGATGCATGCATCCTGCTAGTTTGTGGATGGCACATTTTTTTTCTGGGCTCTCACCATCAGGAATATCCTCAAGAAAAGGTTCTGACCAAGCAGAATATCAACATCAAGAGAAAAACACTAGGGCCTAGTGGCATTGGACAGATCATGAGTCAAATATAGGGGTTACATGAACAATAAACTGTACCTTCAGGGAACATGCACTTTAAATAGTATCAATTTCAATAATGGCTTGCAGTCTTAAAGTGCTACTGAGGCACTATTCATTCACTCCACACACTGATGACTGAAGCAAGGCAGCCTGTCTGCGCCATCGGCCCCTCTAACCACCATCACTAGTCACTCACTCCATTCATACAGATGCATGTTTTGGGTGGTGGGGGAAACCAAAGCGCTTGGAGGAAACCCACCCAGACACAAAGAGAAACACAAAAACTTCACACAGAAAGGCCCGGGTCAACATGGTAACAAACCCATGACCTTCTTGCCTTGAGGTACGAGTGCTACCTACAAAGCCCCTGTGCTGCCCAGTTTGATCATTTTATTTTATTGACCTTTATTTAACCAGGACAGTCCCACTGACTTTTCAGAATATGTTTCAGGAGAGTCCTGGCCACAGAGAGAGGGGAGCTACCTATGGGCGGCACGGTGGCTGAGTGGATAGCACTCTCGCCTCTCAGGAAGAAGGTCCTGGGTTCGAATCCCGGTTGGACCAGGGCCTTTCTGAGGGGAGTTTGCATGGTCTGCGTAGGTTTCCTCCGGGTGCTCCGGTTTCCCCTACCACTAAAATATGTACAATAGGTCTGGCATGTGCCTCCTGTACTGGCGACCCCCACTCCCAAAAATAACAATTGTAAACTGCTTTGAGACTCCGATGTGCAGTGAAAAGGTGGTATATAAATAAAGATTACTAATTACTACTACTTACCTATGACATGGGGAGAACATGCAAACATTGAACACTGGAATATGAAGCAGACTAGTTGAGCCCAGTTAAAACTGGTCAGTGGCTATTCTCTTTATTGTGCAGACGTCACATACGCTGCCGTATTGCACAGTGACAACGGTGTTCATTCAGTTATTTTTCTTTATATTTCATTGTGCAACTAGACAAGCACAAACTTAATCTCATCAGATTGTCTTTGATAAATTACTACAGTGGCGATCCAATTCATAAAGCACAGTAATGTCCTACTGTGGCACTACAGGCAGTCAGGGAACGTTTTGAAATATGGCATATCTGGATCCAAAGAGCACTGAATACAACACTTTTCAAAAATGTTGACATAAATGTATATTTCCTTTTCATATTGATAGCAAACAGTGTAGATAACCTGTGAATAGATATAGTGGAATGTGCGTTTGTGAATTACCGTGATTCTTCAAGAGGATGCTGTACGGTCAATAGACGTGGGTGGCGTAATCTTGTTAACTGTTGTACCCCTTTTTTTAAAGAATCAATAATTTGGTCCTTTTCATACTTTTGATATTTGTCAACTACTTTTTTATCAAAAACAAAAACTGCCACTTCCTGGAGGGGACAAGAGAAACATTGCAAATTTAAGGTTAAGTTAGAACACAGAAAGCATATTTACAGTCATGAATTTAAAATCTATATAAATCATACAAACCTGTTTAGTTGACTTTTTTGTACCATTGTAGATTCTCCAGCACATGCAAGGGCCACCACTAGCTAGATGTCTCCCAACCTCAAACTCTCGTGTCACTGGATTCCCCATAACAGCACTGGTGACATCTGCTGTCACTTTAGTGACAGTGCTTTTCAATTTATTCAACATAGATTCCATTTTAAAAACCCTGAAATGAGAAATTAATAAATATCAAAACATAACTTATTCTGGTAGACATGACCAAATGCATATAAAACAACACGTTTATATTTCAGTCCATAATCCTTGGGTGGGAATTCAACCAAAATAGACAATGAGAAATAAAATGTTATTCTACTGCACAGTTAGTTTCATATCGAACACCCTAAAGTTGTCGTTGGGATTGATCCAGACTCTACAAATACACATTTGTTTTCACATCAATTTGTCATAGCATGATTTGTGACGTGCCATGTTCGAAGCACAGCTGGTGTTAGCCTTTGGCATACACAATGTGAAAATACAATATTAAAAAATCCTCGAGGGTTATGTTATGTACAGAACTGTCAATAAATATACATTGCAACAGCTATTTGAGCTTACGCGACCTAGCCATACAAGCTAAATCAACGCAGCAGCAGCTAGAGGAGGTAGCGTCTGTCTTTGAGAGACAGAAATTATCTTATATACGGCTTTCAATACACAAACACAGTCACGTTACCTGCCTTTAAATCGTATGCTTGACTACTTCGTAAGAAGATCTTTCGCAAATAATTACTGACAAACTTTAGTCACTTCCTTCATGACTTCAGGTGCAAAAGAAAAAGCTAACCTAGCTTAGCAAGCGTCTGACACAACTTCCGGGTTTGTCATAGCTAAGGAGCCTCATCTTCGTATCGCCTGTCAGTCTGATGAAATAATAATTAATAAAATAACAAAAAAGACTCAAAAAATTCATTTAAAGTGAAATATTATTGATTTACAGATTATCATTAATAATAATATTACTAACAATATCATAAATAAGATAAGATAAGAATTCCTTTATTCGTCCCACAGTGGGGAAATTTCGATGTTGCAGCGCACATTTAGGACATTAGTAAGAGCACACAGGGAGCACACACAATATATACAAATAAGTAGTAGCTATGTTTCTTAGCTAACATAACTAGCTGTAGATGCTGAAAATGCTTCAATACCAGTCAAAATATATATATGTAGTAGTAGTGCAGTTATATACTGTACAGTTAAATAGTGCAGGATAATGAGTAGATAAGTAAAGTGACATAAGGTAAAGTGACATTGTTCTGTGACATTCTGAAGTTGCAGTATTGCACATTGCACATGATTTAGGAATGTACTTAATTACAGATGAATGAAATTTACAGGCTCAGCAGTTCTTAGTGTACTGTACAGTCTGACAGCAGCAGGAAGGAAAGACCTACGGAACCTCTCCTTCACACAGCGAGGGTGAATTAGTCTGTCACTGAAGCTGCACTCCAGAGCAGAGAGCGTGTCCTGCAGGGGGTGACAGTCATGGTCCAGCATAGATGTTAGTTTGCTCAGGACCCTCCTGTCCCCCACCTGCTGCACTGTGTCCAGGGAACAGGCCAGGACTGAGCTGGACTTCCTGATGACCTTGTCCAGCTTCTTCCTGTCCCTCTCTGTGATGCTGCTGTTCCAGCAGACCACACCGTACAAGAGGCTGATGCCACCACAGAGTCATAGAAGGTCTTCAGGAGTGGCCCCTGCACTCCAAAAGACCTAAGCCTCCTCAGCAGGTAGAGTTATACCTGAGAGAGTAAATAATTATCCATCCATCCATTTTCTTCCCATGAATAAATTTCTGGTCAGGGGGGGTACCAGCCCCTCACTGATCCTCCTGCAGGTGGTGAGTCCACAGGAGGACAGCTGCTCTGCCAGTGACATCTTTCAGTGACCAAGGCTAATCAATCAATAATAATTATAATTATAATAATAAAACAACTACAATACTCAGTCTATACTTCAGTAACATTCATTTATGGGTCTACATTAACAGGTCAGGCCATACAAGATTTTTATGACATTCGGCATGGCTGTGGGGGTGGGACTCTTGGACCTGGTGGGGGCCTGGGCCTCGGTTTCGGGTCTCCTCTAGATCCTGTGTCGTCCCCTGTGGCTACAGGCGGCTCTCTGCTCCTGGTGCAGACGGCTCCTAGGACGCTTTTTCAGCTGGTTGCATCCGAACCCTGCCAAGTCTCTCATCATTGTTTTACTTGTGTGTGTGTGTGTGTGTGTGTGTGTGTGTGTGTGTGTGTGTGTGTGTGTGTGTGTGTGTGTGTGTGTGTGTGTGTGTGTGTGTGTGTGTGTGTGTGTGTGTGTGTGTGTGTGTGTGTGTGCATGGGAGCGTGTGTGTGTTTGTCTGTGGTTTGGGATGGGTCTGTTGGGTGGTCGGGGGGAGGGGACATGGGTCGGCGGGATTGTTTTTAACCAAACTGTAAAGCACTTTGTGTTGCATCTTTTGTATGAAAAGCGCTTCATAAATAAAATTTTGATCTCTCTACTGAGTTTTAAGTGCCTTGTCCGCCAGAGCCTACCATATGCATGTATCAAAATACTAAGAACGACTTGAAGTACAAAGGCTATTACTAATAGTTTATCACACATAATCCCTGGTGTTCGTTTGTGTTCTACCCATGGATCTATAACAATAACTTCTACCGGCAGGACATTCGTTGAGGTCACTTCCGTAAACAAAGACAGCCCACGTGAAGGCTAAAGGCTTGTACCATTATACGTTTACGTTTAATATCCCGAACTGTACTAAATATCCTTTGTTAACATATTTAACGTGGTGCTATATAGTCACATATATCCCGAGAGATGACAAACTAACCCCGATAGACGGTGTAAGAGTTGTTTTAGACGTATATCCCCTATTGTAACAGCAAATGGTTCAGTCTGTGTTTGGCTGAGGAGCTGAGTACCTTTAAACAAGCGGACAAACAAGAGTAGCACAACGGTCGATCTCCAAGCTTTGCGTTGCTTTTTCTGGCAAGTCTCCGTCTGTGGAGGAGACTTTAAATAGGTAATTCACGCATGCCTGTTATATCTACTTATATTATATAAAGAGTTTAAGCTTTTGAACAACTGTCTTCGGCCTATTCGCTTTGGGACGGAAACTAGTCAAGTTCAACCTTAAAGCTGTAGCTGTAACTACTGTAACTATGAATGTATAATATAAGTCTACATTACATCTAGTACAACTACACAATTGCGCAGTTTAACGTTAACTATTTGTACGTTATCGTCGACAACAACTAATGTGGACAAATAGAATAATGCACTCCGTATGGATTACAATACAATGCAATTTATTCTTGTATAGCCCTAAATCACAACAGAAGTCATCTCAGAGGACTTAACAAAACCATTGAAATCACCAACACAGATCGGATAATCAACAGTTAAGACACAAAAAGAATATAGAACACATGCTAAAAAAAAAAGTCCATACTTGAGGATTACACAAAGCCTTTATGTGTTTTATTTTTTGAAGCCCATGGTCTTGTTTTGATCTCGGATCCTGATCACGTGTACCCTGTGTGTGGCTATATTTTTTTTCATCCATGTGCTCTGCTCTGTGACCAAAGATTTTCCTTCTACGGCTGACAGATAGGCAGCTGCAGCCAATGAGGAGAGCCAGCTTGTCCACAGTACAGCCCACGGCTTTGTTTACTTTATACTGCAGTGGAATCTCTTCGCATCTTCTTTGTTCGATATTTGTCAGTATCCAGAGGACGCAATTTTTTAAATATTTATATTTAATAGTGATCTAAGGTTGTGTTATCCTTTTTACACCATTAGATGTTTAGATATTTTTATTGTCATGACCTCTAAAAGCCAATGTATGTCACAATTTTTTTGCTATGTTTTATTTTTCTATATACCAAAGGCTCAGATAGTCACATTCTCCCCATGTGACATGTGCTATCTTTAAACTGAACTATCAGCAAATGGGTGGCTTTCATTTTGGCAGCTGATAAGTGAAACCAGAAAGCCAGACTTTGAGGGCCCCTGCTGAAACAAGAAAGTTCATCTCAAGGAGCTTACCCTGCACATAAATACATTAAGACTGTGCCACCCAAAGGTCTTCCACCAATAGTAGACAGACACTAATAGTAAATAAAAATATTTCCTTGTTGTGATCAGTCATTACCCTCAAACCATATGAAACTAAATGTTCTTTTATTTATTCAAAAGCAAGGCTCGTGAAATTCTTGGGTTTCATTAAACTGGCCTGTAGGGGACGAATGAGCAGAGGTAGGACAACTCAGTTTTGCTCCCATTGAAATTCGAAAGTGTCCTGATCATCACCAATCCTTTCTGTTGGACACTAACTGTCCAACAAGACCCTCCTGCATCGACAAGGAAAAACTCTTAAAAAACCCAGTGGGAAAAAGTGAGAAACCTTGGGGAGAACTAGGGAAACCCGCAGGGAGGGAGACCCATTTGAGAAAGGGATCCGCTCCTCCGGACGGACAGGCTAATGATCTAGGACCTAAGCTAGCTACAGAACATGGACAAGTGGTCGTTGAACGTGGACAGGTCCGGTGCAGGACTGAAGCACTCCCAGGCGGGTCGGGCGGGGCAGTCCGCAGGTGTAGATGGAGGAGGCCAGGCTCAGAGATCCCGTCATCGTACCATGAAACAGACAATGGGACAACGGGTGAATAGCAATGAACAAACTACAGTCAAAATCCTAAAAATGCTAAACAGATAAAGTAGGAAGGAGGAGAGGATAGTGCTCAAGTTACCATACTTCTCCCAGCAAACTGACTCCCTATGCAGCTTGACTGACAGTCTGAGGAGTTTAGCCTTCCCTGAGTCTTACCTTCCTAGTAGCCATATGCTAAACTAAAGAGGACTGTTTTAAACCTAGCCTTGAATAAAGAGAGCGTATCTGAAAGGAGGCGAGACAGCAGCAGCCACGGCTAGGCTAGTCTAGGTTACAGCACCAAGATTCATGGATTGCACACCAGGCGTGCAAACCAATCCAAACAAACCTAATTATATATCATATACATCACATATACCATACATACCATATATATCATGGCATAGCATAATATATAACATAATATACAACATAACACAATACAAAACATAATACATATATTGTATAATATATAACATAATACAGCATATATATAATATATACACCATATATTATATATTACCTAATTATATGCTAAATTAAAGTAGAGTGCTTTAAGCCTGGCCTTGAATGTGGAGACCGTATCTGCTTCCTTAACATAAATGGGAAGCTGATTCCACAGTAAAGGAGCTTGGTAGCTAAATGCTCTGCCGCCAACAGTGATTTTTGAGACCTTAGGAACCACCAGACGTCTGGCGTTTTGTGAGCGCAACGCTCGACTTGGTTGATACGACACTAACGTGTCTTGGAGATAAGAAGGAGCCAAGCCATTTATGGCTTTATATGTTAAGAGAAGGATTTTAAACTTTATTCTGTACTCCACAGGGAGCCAGTGGAGTGATTTTAACACCGGAGTTATGTGCTCCCTCCTTTTGGTACCTGTTAAGATCCTAGCTGCTGTATTCTGAACGAGCTGGAAGCTCTTCAAAGAGGCTTTAGGGCACGCTGCCAATAAAGCGTTACAGTAGTTGAGCCTTGAGGTGACAAACGCGTGAATACGTTTTTCCGCGTCACTTTTAGGAAGGAAATTCCTAATTTTAGCAATGTTCCGTAAGTGGAAGTACGCCGTTTTAGTTGCTTGGCTTATATAAGCCTTGAAGGAGAGTTCTTGGTCAAAAATGACTCCAAGATTCCTCACAGTGTTACTGGGTATTATACTGACATTATCGAGAGTAACCATCTGGTTAGTGAGGGAGTCACGCAGGCGCTTCGGACCGAGTAGGATCACTTCTGTCTTCTCCGTGTTGAGAAGTAGGAAGTTAAGAGTCATCCACATTTTAAGGTCCTTTATGCAGGCACTGAGCTTTTCTAGCTGATCTGTCTGATTTGGCTTCATTGACAGATAAAGCTGTGTGTCATCTGCATAGCAGTGGAAATTAATTCCATGCTTTCTAATAATGTTTCCTAACGGCAGCATGTAGAGAGTGAAAAGAATCGGTCCGAGTACCGAACCCTGCGGCACACCGAATTCTACTCCAAAATAATGCGACGAGTTCTGATTTACGTTGACGAAGTGATACCGATCTGATAAATAGGATTTAAACCAGCCAAGGGCTGTTCCTCTAAGACCTATATCACATTCTAGCCTCTGCAGTAGAATGCTGTGGTCTATTGTGTCAAATGCAGCACTAAGGTCCAGTAGGACCAGCACTGACACTTGTCCATTATCAGCAGCTAGTAGTTAAGTCATTTGTGACTTTGACTAGTGCAGTTTCAGTGCTATGATGAGCTCTGAATCCAGATTGAAAGACTTCAAACATATTATTTTCCTGCAGGTGGCATGACAGCGCTTCTTCTTCTACTATAAACCCGGCAGACTGCACCTCCAGGATACACCACGTCCTGTCCCACGTTTGTTATTCGCGCCACTTCCCTGATGTCATATGAAACCCAGGATATTCTTTCTGACAGTTGAGTCGCTCTGTTGCCAGGCGGGAGACATTGGATCTTAGATGGGACTACTACCCCCTTTTATTGTCAAGAAATTCTAGCCTTACTGAAGTCTAGGCATACAATTCCAGGTAAAACCGATGTTTTGTAAAGTCATTTGAGCTACTGTGAGGGTACAAAAAAGCCTCATCTTCACGACAGGCATGACAGCTGGTGTTTTTATGTGACACATTTTTAGCATTTTTTTTAATGATAACTGAACAGCATTTGTTCCACTCTTTGGATCACCCATGTGGATTATATTGAACACTAGTACTTTTAAAGATGGTGTCAATAACTTCTGTTTCATTGAATGTTTATAATATTGCACATTTTTGACCATATCCCTATCATATATTCACTATTTTTCCTCTTTGAACTAACAACATGATTTGCTGGAGGAGAATAGTTGGACTAATGGGAAGGATTTGAATTAATTTAGTCCAGTCAGAAAGTTGGAGCATGCTCTTGCTCTCCTTTACAATTTGAACAATTAGTATTTAATATTTTTAACGTTTATTTGATGCATAAACGTCTGTTAGGAGCATGTGTTTATAACTCATTGATTAGTTATTACTTTGTAATTTCAGCACTAAATCAACATGCCTCTAAATGATGAGAAACCAGGCTCCACGTCCTCCGGTGGTGAGGATCAGAGCGATGTGGAGTCTTTTTCCGAGCGCAGCAACAGTGTCACGTCTGCTAGTGACCTGGATTGCTCTTCTGGGAGCTTTGGGAGCAATAACTCCAGCAAACAAAGCACGCCATCCTGTTAGTCTCATTGTTTTTATTTCTAAGTAAAACTTTTCAAATTAATCTTATTATAGGTTGTCTGAATAACCCTTTTTACATTTGTACTTCTAAAGCCAGCCCGCCGGTAGTACTCACCTTGGATGAAGTCATGGATTCTGCAAGAGACCTCTCAAATTTGAGTCTTGCCCATGAGATTATTGTGAATCCAAAATTTCACTTTGAAGCCAAGAGCCCACCAAAGGATAGGTATAATGCATTTGATGGTTTATTCACTTGTCAAAAGTAGTTGCTAATGTGCCATACTATGTCTTTTAGCTTATATAGATTAGTTAAAGATAACATCCACAAGGCATTCTGGGACATCCTGGAAGCTGAGCTCAATGATGATCCGCCAGAATATGGACAAGCCATTAAGCTTCTGGAAGAAATTAGAGAGGTAATCACTGATAACTAAAACACAAAAAGTTCTTGTGTAATAACATTTAGATGTCTGGTCATTAGACAATGTTGTCATTCCTACACCCTGGAGCCAGAGCCAATCGCATGTCTAGCCAGATTATGGAGGTTCTGGACATTGACCTAATCCGTCAGCAGGCTGATAATGATGTCATAGACATACAGGGCCTTGCAACATATATTATAAATATGATGGGCAAATTGTGTGCACCATCACGGGATGAAGAAATCAAGAAGCTCAGAGAAAACACAGCAAACATTGTGACACTTTTCAGGTAAGACAAATAGAACTTGTATAAATATGTATCATGTAATGTGATTACCATAAACCTCATAAATGGCCTATACTTGCTTAGGGAGATTTTCCGTGTTCTGGACCTGATGAAAGCAGACATGATAAACGTGAAAATTGACATTATTCGACCTGTCCTACTCAAGGAAGGTATTGAATATGAAAGGGCAAAATTTCAAAGCATTTTGGACAAAACACCAAGTAAGTGACAAAGCACTTGATTCATTAAAATCAGTTAAAAACGTAATGAATAAGAAGAATTCTAATAATATTATTTTCTCATTATTTTAGAGGGACTTGATAACACCACCCAGTGGATCAAAGGTGCAATAAATGAGCTGCAGTCTGTTTTTAGCTCCTCTGAAGGGAAGCAGTCAGCTGTTCCAGGGCCTTTCCAGGTCCTAAACACCGCCTTCCTTCATGTGCTCACCTGGGACTACAGCAAGAACACACTACCAGAGGTACACTACACTACAGCCAGTGATGCGGAGTTACAGATTACCGGTTTAATTTTACTTTTATTGAATCAGGAAAGTCCTGCTTAGATTTCAGAATCTCTTTTCAGGAGAATCCTGGCAAAAAACAAATCTTTCACAATTAAAACACTGGATATCTTGGTCTTCACACTTTTCTTCTTAGGAGCAATACCCGTTTCTGCAATGTTTGAATGTTTAGCACCGTCCCGCAACTCACTCACAGGCTTCTCATTTCCCCTACGCTCTCATTCTATGGAGCCATCTAGTTTTATTTGCAATCTGATACGTATGCAAACATTAGCATTAGCGCAACTTCTGTAGCTGTACAACAATCACTGATGAAATGGTACAAAAGCAACGCACTGCAAACAAAATATATAACTGAAAGATTACGAAAGGATACGATGTAAGCTAGCTATGTTCACCCAGGCCTGATTTCATTTTTTCTCTTCTCTTCCTCACTGTTGTGTTGTTTGGGCTGTTTTGCTGTGTATACAGTTACAGCAAGAGGAGTTATAGCCACTTTCTGCTGAATGCTACTGTGTTTAGCAGCGCTGTAGAGGCTAGAGGACGCAGCCTTGTTCTGTGAGTGGAGGAGAGCGGACGTCACGCTACTCAGCACTTTTTACGGCCTGAGTTCATACACAAGCTGAATCAATGAGCTCAAGTTTTCAATGAAATTACGGATTATAATCAGTGGCGGCCGGCCAATAGAGGGCGCTAGGGCGCCGCCCCACCACTCACAACTTGCCATGTTACCTTGAATAAAACGTTAAAAAAAATAATAACATTAAAATATTTCGAAATGTATGTGTGTTTTATTTCAGATGTGGAAGAAATACTTTATAGTTTATGCTGAGTTGGATTGATTAAGCTCATCAGCGTTGTCTGTGTCGGACTGAGGACGTATTTCCGCCTCAGGGCGCAAAAGATTGCGCCCTGAGCCGTCTATGGACTCTCGTTAAAAGTTGTACATGCGCAGTAGCTCCTCTTCAATGCAAGAGATAAGACGATTTGGGGCGCAGGAGAAGTGCGCCCTGAGGGGGCGGGATCGCCCGCGACCTGTACTGTCACTGTCTGTGACGTCCGTTTACAGTGATTGACAGGTCAAGCTGTGGGAGTTTGAGACAAACGTAAAGAGACGCAAAATGGAGAACGAGAAAAAGAATAATTCAGTTAGATCACTCAAAACAATACCGTTTGAGAGAAGATCATACCAGGAGAAGGTTGAGGTTAAAGAGCTTGGACCTGATCAGCCAAATATTACCATTAGTCAGCAGTCCAGGACCTGGTTCAGCGCCAAATCTTGGCTAGCAGCATGTAGCGAGGCTAATGCTTTATTTTGCTTTCCATGCCTCTTGTTTCAAACATCAGGATCTGACCCAGCATGGATCAAGACAGGTATGACTGATCTGAAGCACTTTTTAGAAAAGGCAAAGAAGCATGAGCAGACTGGTATCCACATGCAAAATGCCCTCAAATTAGCTATGTTTGGGAAGATAAATATTTCATCCCAGCTGGATGAAAGCTACAGGGTAGGGATCAGAAAGCACAATGAGGAGGTTGACAAGAATAGGCACATCCTATCAAAAATAATAGACTGTGTCAAATTCTGTGGTGCATTTATATCTAGTCATCATATTCATAGCCCCCCCAGTAGAAAATTCCACCAGCCGCCACTGATTATAATACAATTTGTATGTAGTAATATTATTGCTACATACAAGTTGTATTATAATCCATAAACAAGCATTTATATGAACTCATTAAAAAAATCGGGTATAGCATCTTTAAATAGACTTATTCACATCAATATCCATGCCGACATTATTGTAAGGTTAAACTGAGGACAGGGCCGAGCCTGTCCGCTCTGTTTACCATTGACCAAATGGAGAGATACAACTTCAAAGGAACCATGGGGTTCAACCACAGGAGCAGATATCCATCATGAGGATTACAGACGCCAGACGGACCCATAAAACAGCGGGATACCCATCTGGTGCCTTTTTCATGTCAACAGAGAATCTGATACGAATCAGCATTGTCACAATGCATTCCACGGACCAAGGGGTCCACCCGCGGCCCTCTGGCGCCCCCCAGTGGATACTGGACGCCATCACACCCCAAGGCGGACACTCAAAGGACATTATTCGGTGATATTATGATTGATAACCGTTACAGACCTCACATGTGTGTATCAATGTCAAAGTAATGAAATACGGTGTGTGTTTGTACATGTGTTATGATCATTTGCATCAATCCGATGTGTTTCCTTTGCAAAATGTCTGTTGTGAAGGGGTCTGTCCACAGAGAGGGGAGGCATGGACACGCCTCCCCTGGGGAAGTCAATATAAGCACCCACAAGCCATTGTACTTTCTCTTGTTTCCCCCGAATTCATCATAACAACTATCCCGTTTGGTACGTGTCCCCTACACGGCCTACGCCCGCCACCATCTCGGGCCTGTACATCCACGAGGACAGCAACCACTCTCGCTGTCGGAGACGAGGACCTTCTATCGCCACTTTCGGGCTCCTTGGACCACCCCACCACAACGCTATTCTAGACCGTGTCGTGTGTGGAACCCACGCCTGGACCCGACCTGCCGGCTTCCTCCTGCTCCTTGTTCGAACAAAGACCACGTGGACGAGACATCGCCTCCATCCTATTCTTCACTCTCATCCTCCCATCTCCATCTCCATCCTCCTCTTTCCATCAAACACATCCTCTACGCTCCTCCAAAGTAAGACTGTTCCTTGTTAAATGTGCAATTTGAATGAAATGTGTACGACTCCTACCTAAATGTGACCAGAAATCCCTTTTCGTTATATTTTTACCTTCATTTTGTAATCAATAAACCTCTTTCCTTTAACTCAATCCTATCAGAGTCGTGTTGTTAGATTTCGGAATATCCCTGGCAGATTTTCGTACTCAACCCATTAGATTCATAAGACTGATATCGAGGCAAATACCCTGGTTCTGTTGTAGACTCTCAACCGTCTGCTGGTGCCCAAAATAAATAAGACAGATCCATTGGTGGAACGGCGAGTTCCTAATCCGGAGACTAGCCGCTCCACACTACTAAATTTATAACATAATCAGCAATATAAGTAGTTACCCTACATATTGGTACCCTGTTTGTGAGATCCGCGAATATAGACCAGATTTATCAACTCGTACTCTGTGATTTGATCTGGATACGCTACCTAAAGAACCACCGCTCAAAGCGTTTCCCCCCACTCCCGCACCCCCTCTGCTCCTCTGCCCCGTTGCTATGGTGAATTCGAAAACAATTTGAGCTCCCCTGCGCCCTCGCTAGCGTATAGCGCCCCCGTGCATGCACTAGACTATATAATTTAGTCTCAAATCCCGACTTTTCGTACGGGTACTACGCATCTCCTACAACGTGTCGCCCCGCTTGGCCAGCGGGCAGCGTGGAGTGTGAAGCCGCTTAAACTCTTAAGAGAAAGCGCAGAAACTTGTCCTTGTAACCCACTGTACACCGTGTCCAGAACACGGGCGTACAGATCTACTCTGTGTCCCTTTGTGACCCAAGTCACACAGGATTGTAACCGAGTATATGTGTATGAAGGCTGTGAAAGTACAGCTGCTTGAATGTGATGCTACTGTTCTGCTAAAGGTGGCTACCGCTAACTCTGTCTCACCACTCTTTCCGCCTGCTAACCTGCTGTTGTACACACACACCAGCACCCTACAGTACATACAGACAAACCCCATTCCACCACTGCAAATACGTGCTTGTGCGAACGTATAACTCGCTGCGGACTGTTCATTACCTAATCTGCGGATAGCCCGCCGCACTCGAAAGCTAACGGCTAGCTACCCTCCTTTGTTCTAGCATAAGGCTAACTTCCGCTCGGGCCTGCTAGCCTCAAAGCTACACTCGGACAACGCCGTCGCTCATAATACTGCTCACACTATAAGCTGCTCCTCTACCGTTAAAACTAGTGCTACTCTGTTTAACCACATTGCATTCGGTTACTAAAACTCATTGTTTACTGCTTAAACTGCTGCTAAAACGCCCGTTGCCGGCAAGCTACAGGCTAGCTACGCTCCTTTGTTTTTAGCATACGGCTAACTTCCGGCCCTGGCGTGCTAAAAGCCAGAGCCGCATCCCCACTGCTAATACCATTCTGCTGCATTGCCTACCCGTTGTCTAACAATAACACCACTTACTACACTCTCGTACTATCCTATCTCACTCTGATTCTGTGTTTTGACGATCATGAAGTGCTAACCCGTCTCTGCACACTGCTAAACGAGCCGCACCTCTTTTATTGTCTAACACAGAATCGCTTTCCGGTCCCGGTGCACCACTTCCGGGACCACATTGCTGCTGTCTTGACATTTTACCCTGCACCACGTCTCATGATCAAGTGATTGGCCGTGGTTGTAACATTAACACTGTTTTGGCTGTTGCCCCTTGCTGTTTCTGTTCCAACTAAAATCTCTACTTTGCCAAACTTGATGTTTGATTGTGCTAAACTAATACTTTAATCCCGCCCCTCCTTCTGCATGTCATATTGTTTTGTCAATAACCACATTACTGCCATACATTGGTAAAACTAACACTCTGTTTCTGCTTCTCCTCTTAAGCATAATTGTTAGGCTACATTACTGCGTTGACCAAGTTTCATACTGTAACTCTGCTACTTCTAGCGCATGTTGCTATTAGAACACATTACTGCTATACATAACAAAAGCTAACACTCTGTTTCTGCTTCTCCTCTTAAGCATAATTGTTAGGCTACATTACTGCGTTAGCCAAGGTTAATGCTGTAAACTCTGCTCCCCTTCTGCTGCATGTCGCTGGTGAAACGCATTCTATGCTTTATTCCTGCTCACTCACTACTGCTAGTTTACGGTAACACATCTGTGTGGTGATTTAACAAACACTGCACTCCCACACACCCCCGCCCCCCCCTCCTTGCCACTGATAATAACACATTGCTGTGGTAACTAATC